TCACGAGTTCTTAGCAAGTGTAAAATAATATCCGGCGGAAGTGGATATAACTTTGTTAGTAACATACCCTGCACTTTACTGTCCCTAGTTTAATTACCAGTTACCTGTTCCCCCATATTGATAACTTATCTACAATAGCTTACAAATTACAAGTGAAAGCGATAAAATGTTAGCACGCTCATTTTTTGACATACAACAAATGTATTGCAACTTTAGTCTTTAGTTATTATTCAGTTTTCCATTACCAAATGCGTGGTAATCACGATCCGATGTCTGCCCATGTGATTTTTGGGTAACTTGTAAAGTATACCCTTAACAAAAAAATAAGAATTTCAAAAATCGGTCCAGGCGTCTTCGAATTATCGATTCCTTTTCAAGTCGTTAAAATAGCTATTATTTTCCAATTACAATGTGGCTTGGTGGCTCAATCGTGCGACTCTCAACCCTGAGGATGTACGTTCGAATCACGGTTGAGCCCTAATGGATTTTGTCTTTCTATTTGCGCAATTACACATTATGAGAGAAAATATAAACGGACGAAGAAAGAAACGTAATGGTTTCCTCGCTATGACAAAAGAAAACGAGGAAGGCAAATAAAAAGATGGGAAGATGATGTGCGAAGCTGGCCTTATGTGGCTACGTAAAGCTAGAAACAGAGGAGAGTAGAAGCCATTAGAGGAGGCCTATGTCCAAGGACAAGCTGTATAATAGAAATCAACCGGCTCGCCGATTAATTATTATTATTTATTTATTATTTATAGTGTTAATTTTTTAGTATTCCACATTTTTATGTACTAGTATAAGTAATTACAGCAATGAAGGCTTTTATTATTATTATATTTGCGCAAATAACACTTGCCACGGTGAGGGCAAACATCACGAGGAAACGGGTATAAACAACAAAATTTTCCTACAGCCACAAAAGGCTGATATCTTTGTGTAAAAATACTAAATAATTAGTGTAGTTAGTTAATAGAGTTACCTATAGGTTGTAGCGCCACTGGAGTATTGTTTCTATAATACAAAGGATCTCCTTAGCAATTCATCGACACTGGTAGATTACCATAATCATAAGCAACTATTTCACGTATTGCATTAATAATAGAGAACCAAAACGCTTAAAACAATCCTTAAAACCACAATATCTTGCTTATATTCTCTGGAGCATAGCCGGTAGTAAACTATATTCAACATTTCGGTTGAAACGCTCTAACTTAGCCCTTGTAGTTGAAATTAACTGTTGATATGTGTATAATAAATGCAGTCTTGAATTAAATTTATTTAATGTTCAAAGTTGCGTAGTCTTGACTTAGTGGCTTCAGCATGCGATTCTCATCCCTGAGGTCGTAGGTTCGATCCCTGGCACCAATGGACTTTTTGTCTATGTGCGTATTTAACTTTCGATGGAACGGTGAAGGAAAACATCGTGAGGAAATTGCCTTGCTTGCGAGACCTACTTGACTATTAAGCCGAATTTACATTACGAAACTAGTGTTATGCATGTTGGAATGAGTTTCATGAAAATAGTTGCAGCACGTGTGAAACTACTTTAACAAAAAATAATAGTGTCGTGAAATCAACAGTATCACCAACGACATGGCTCTGTCAACATCAAAGCTTCATTTTGCGATGCAGAACGTCGTGGTACAGATGTTAATATATAAAATTCGAAAAAGGTTATCTCGAAAGAAAAGACGTTGGTGGATTCGAGGATGGGTAGGAAGAAAGCATTTGGGTGCAACGCGTTTAATTTCTGAATTAGCAGATGAAGATCCCGAGAGCTATACAAACTACTTTCGAATGAGTGAAGATTATTTCGTTAATGAATTTTATATTTTTATCAACTGACCAACGTTGGTTTGCCATTTTGGCGGTCATTTAGCTGCACGATGCACTCAAACACACACGTCTGCCCTGTGCAAATGCTTTCGCGACACTAGTTTCGTGTCGCGTTTTCATCGTGAAAGTAGTTGCGTGACATTAGTTTTACAAAAAATATGCGCATGGCACATGCATTATGAAACTGTAAATTTACACGTGAAATTGTTGATGAAATTTATGTCATAAAACTAATTCCGAGCCACTAGTTTCGTAATGTAAATTCGGCTTTAGATTGACAAATGATCATGAAACAGATACAGAAATCTTAGGACCAGCACTGAAAAGGTTGTAGCGCCACTGAATTCTCTCGTTTTATTAGTTCTTTTAAAGATTGAATAGGAGCTTATACAAAAAGGCACGGAACTGCCAATCTGCATTGGAAACGCTTATACGGCGGCTTAATGCACCAGGCAACTTCCCGTATTATTGTTTTCTTATTCAGGGCTAAGTCGGCGCTATATGTATATACTGTAAAGATACAATATTTTTTTTTTTTTTTAAAGTCAATTCACACCAATTGACCTAGTCCCATGTTAAGCTGGTGAAGCTTGTGTTATGGGTACTAGGCAACGGATATACATACATATTATAGATATAGACATATAAATACATATTTAAACACCCAAGACCTAAGCACAACACCAAATGCTCATCACATCGATGTTCGTCTCAGCCGGGGATCGAACCCGGGACCCATGGATTCGCAGTCAGGGGTACTAACCACTAGACCAATGAGTCGTCAAAATATAAATACCCTTCTAACAGCAACAAGAAAATAATCTTGCAAAGAAGATTTTGAAAGACCGTCGAAGACATCATAAAGTTATCAATTTTGCGATCAAGGACATAATAAGATATGAATTTTAACGCTCACTTATAAACATCTCGCAACTTAGTCCATTACATACCTGTGATTGTCTTTACAGAATTACCTGTTAGTGGTTAATGGTGCGGAAAATCTTGATATTTTAGATTTCTAACTTACGCTAACATACGATCGGTGCCTAATATTTGTTAGTATTGGCTATAAGATTCTTCATTTGAGTATTCGACGTTAGGTTAATACTTGTCGAACTCATAGTTAAATAGCTATTTACTTACTAAATATAGTCTTTATAAATAGTATATTTACGCGTTCACCATCACAGATTTTAATTAAATTTGGTATATTAATAGAGTTGGTCTTGGTAAAGGACATAGGTTACCTTTAAAAAAAGCGATTAAAGCGGTCAGATAACGGAATGAAAGTTTGTATGAACGTTCATTATCGTCAACTATCCTAAATGCTGCACACAATAACTAAAAATTCATAAATTCTTTAATCAATAACAAGTTACATTTTTAACAGATATTGGAGCGCCTGAACTAAGTCTAGGGAGACCTGTACATCAGGGTACTCCGCTCTTCCAACGGTTTAATGAAATTGTAACTTAACAATTGTTAACAAAATACTATATAAAGAAAAATAGAAAGCTGAGTCTTATTACTAAAATAAAGATACAGGTTTACCTGGTTGAGATGTTTGTACACACTAGAAGCGAATAACTGTGATAATGTTAGGGAAGGGATGGATGGGATGGAAGTTGGAGAGTGCTAGTGTAAAAGAGTGTAAGTGCATTGAGAAATTAAAAATGATTAAATTATTCTTCAACTGGTAAATCAGTTTCTTCATAGTGCACAAAGCCACTTTGTAAGTATTTATTTAATTTCGTATATTCGTAATAACTTAGGGTAAATATTAAGGATCCTATTATGTTTATTGTATAGCTGACTTGATAGATAAGAAAATTGGCGGTGTGAGAATTTAGTTTTACATTGAAATATAATACAAACTAGGTCCTTCCTACGCCTTTCCAGAAGTGCTTTGCTAAAGTGTAAAAAAGGATTAACAATTGGTGGATGGTGAGAAGATTGCTTGAATTGTATAAATCAAAAGTTAAATAAGTACGCTTCTTTAAAAACATCACCTATATAACTATACCGTAACAGGGCAGCATTAAGCAGTAGCAGCGATCGAAGACACAGGCAAAAACTAGTTACGAAGGAATATAAATAATTGTATAAGGTAATTGATATTTCGAAAAGGAACAAATAATGACGGTGTTAGTAAATTCATTAGAATATTAACATAATAATTAAATAGACTGCCGCGGGCCATTTGTAATTCCCTCGAGTATTTAATAAAAACGGCGGGGCAAATAAAAATAAAACGAAAGCCTGAGAGATTATTAAAATTTAAAATATTCGCTTCACTATTTCTCGGTAAAGTAATTATAGTACATTATAATCAAATGTAACATCGAGTTATAAATAACCATTACATAAATACAAAGTTCTTAATAAAGATCGACAAAACTTAAAAACGTGTTTTGATGTGAAACTTCTATAGCCGCACGTAAAACCGATTTCTGGCGTGGCGACGCATGCCGTGGCGACGCGACGCCACGCTATATGATGGTATATATATACAGTCTATATGCAGTAGTGTGTACGGTGTGTGTATTTCGAAGTCACTGATTAAACGAATTAAGTAGTCACGATTTGAATTAAATTCGTAAATTTTTGTATTTAATGAAAATAAATGTTTATTCAATAAATGACGATGACTTTATCTGGAAAAAAAATCGTAATATTTTATTATGTCATTATGACATATTTAGTTCCTATCACAATCTGTTCTTTTCTGCATATTACTTTTACAAAATAATGTGGATGTTTCACATCTGCCAGGCGTCCCATGACGGCTCACATTTTTTTTAAGTTTTTGTTTTACATCCTTAATTGATTTGGATGCTGAAAGCGTTGTTGGCCAAGTGGCTTCATCTTGTAGCAACGACTCACATGCTTGTGGTAGTTCGTTCGATTCTCTTATGCACCAATCCACTTTGAATGAAACACATTGGTATGGTTCAAGATAACATCTTGAGGAAATCTTATTCCTTAGACCCAAAAGTAGACGGCGTGTATCAGGCACAGAAGGCTGATCGCCGACCTGCCTATTAGAAAAAACAAATGATAGCGAAATAATATATACATCTATCTTTAAGGGAGCCAACCAATTCCAGGTTGTCCTAAATACCAGGTGTTATCTTGGGACATAAGGGTAAACAATTAACAAGATGGGTAACAATAGGTATGATAATGAGGATTTCCATACATTTTTTGCGCGGACTATCCGAAGTTGTAGGTTGCTTCTCTCTTAATTGAAATTCTATTTCGTCTCTCGTTTAACTTAGTAAAAACGGCTCATTAGACATTTATTTCAATACAACAAGACATATAAATTACAAATATGTAAAAAAAACATATATTTACAAGTTTGTATAGGTCCTTATTATTAGGTAGGGTCCTTAAAGTGTTTCATAGATAAGATTTTTTATTAAAGTATCAGTAACACAATTAAAAATAAAGAAATAACAATAATGGTCACAAAAGTAAACACATCGATTTTATAATACACTAGTGGACCCCACAGACGTTGTCCTGCATGATATTTAAAGCGATTAGGATATTAAGCAAAGTATGAAAGTACCGACTGCAGTGCCATCTGCCGGGCTGATTTGTGAATCTAAACCATTCCCAGATCCCCTTGAACACACACAAAAAATTTCATCAAAATCGGTCTAGTCGTTTGAGAGAAGTTCAGTGACATACACACTCACAGAAGAATTATATATATAAAGATACACAATCGATTTTTAAAGGCGCTTGAAAGAAGCACGAAAACATATCAACTTTGAAGAAGTGAGCGTTGAAGGAATAACACATTCTATGGATAGGGACACGAAATCCGACGTTAGCCTGTAGCTAACAATGTACTACCGTGGCTTCCTTAACATCTATGACGTAAATCACGGGGTTAGATTTCCAGCGCATACATAAGATTTTTTTTATAGATAGCGGAACGAAACTACGCCGTGACGGAGTTTTAAACCTATTTCCATTTCCAAGGGTTGGACGGTCATCTCATCAGACCTGGCAGATACCTATACATGATTTGTTAGGTGAAATATTTTGATATTAAACGCAGTAAACACTAAGACATAAATTTAACAAGAAGTTAACCAGGGACCAAATAAATTATTTATTTCCAGTTTTAACAAATTTCACATGACTACAAATTAATTAATTTAACTTTATATATAATAATGTAACGTAGTAATGTGCTTGGCTTTGGATGTGTCTTAAAGTACTTATGTAAATTTTAATAATATTTTTTTTAGATCAAGACTTACATAAACGGCAACTTTACGCATTTCCCCGCGTGGGTAGGTCGTACCCAATCCAAATATCCCCTGCGAAATTGGAGGAGATTCTGTTTGGTAGAAGTCATGGATTTGTGAAGAGAGAACGTGAAAGCACGGATAGTACGGGAATGTGGTTCGGGCCAAGGCTTGGTAGAGGATTCAGGAGTGAAGATGATAGTAAGTTAATATGATAATATTATGGTGAGATAAAAACAGAACTCGTTTGATATAAACACGATATGAAGTGCTCGCCGCTTGAAAATGTATAATAACCATTCATCGTGACCAGTCTACGTGACAGTATTGTAAGATAAAAATATTTATTAGGTAAAAAGGTCTTTAATCTAGTCTAGCGATTTTATGAATATCGTGTGACTGATTTATTGACACACACAGACTCCGCTTTATCAAAACATAGGACATTTGAAAAATCTACTGTCGATTTGCGTTCGACTGTGATTGAACGAACTATAACGTGATGCATCGTGTCACTTGTCAACGCATAGACTAGAGATGCTGTTAACCATTCACAATCGAACGGAACACGTCATCGTTTAAACGACCCCTGATACTTTTACAATCACCACATACTTCCTTCAACCTCCGATCCTGGTCTATTTGCTCAAGGCAATAAAGGATGTCTAATAATTATCTTTATTTTTCTAGCAATTTCCAGTGAAGAGAGAAGTGAACCAGAACAGGTCGTTTTTGAATCCGAACGGGAAAAACGAGATACGAAAAACAACTAATACTATGACTGATTGCTTAATTTACTTATAATTCAATGTTATTTAGTTAGTGTAATTATTTATTAACCTCAGATATTTAAAGCTTTTTCTAATATTTACCAACTTTTCATTTTCAAAATTACGATGTATTTAAATTTTATTTAACTATGTCAATTAAGAATTCATTACAGGTTCTTATTTGTTCTTTTAAAGTTGTACAGTCCCACATACTTTTTAGTATTGCCAGTAAATAAAAATTAACCATTATAAGGGGAATAGTTTGAAGTCATGCAGGCATCTTAATAATTTATTGAAATGTTTTAATTAAACAATGTATACTAGTAAATACTGTTCCGGGCTGAAATAAATGTGACACAAATATAGGAACAACTGATATGATAGGTTTTGTTACCTGTACTATTAAAATAATATAAATTACAGAAAATAAACATTACAAAACACTGACATTTCAAAATGGCGACGGTAATACCAATTTCAGCCGCCGCGAGAAAAGTATGTGGCACTGAAATTCATATTTTGACATTTGTTGTCTAAACTTAGATATGCAATAACAAATAATTCTTAAATTGAATCTAGTCAGATTAAAATATGTTTAACATTACTTACTTATTTTATAATTACTTTATTTTCTTTTAACTCGTCAAGTGTTGAATTTATGAATGTGTCTACGATATTGTTAAGTTATAATATAAATGTTATTAGTTAAAAGTGTTGAACTACTGTTACCCGGAATTATTTCTGCGGCTGGGTGGAATTTTTATCCAAGAAATAATTCTGGGTTCAGTATTTGTAACGTTACTGAAATTAAATGCAAATGTATTTTACATTTTTTATTACTTTTCAACCAATATCATTTGAGAGATGAGAATACCAAACTATGGACTGACCTCTTTAATAATTCCTCTTCATCCGGAGAACAAAACCGCAGTTAAATAACACGGAACTGCGAGTAATTTTTTGAAATTGTTAATATTCGAAGAAAAATATTATTACACAGTATATACAGTAGACGTTTTGACATACGTTTTTAATCAGTCCAAGTCAATTAAACTTTCCTTAATTAGACCTAGAATGAGATAATTCACAATATAATCACCCATCTTCATTCAAAGTTAGTTTGATTTACGTTTAAATGTAACTAAAAGTCTATTTAAATTGTATCCCGTAACTAATGTATATAATTATGATAGAATGATCTGTTCGTGATCAAAGCTTCGGTAGCATTGAAAATAATTATTGTTCTTAGGAGGAACACATGAAGTCATCTTATTACTTTGTTAGACCACTAAAGCTTAAAAAGATTGAATTAGTAAATCTTTATAAGCTTGCTTTGAAATTTGCTTAGTCAGTATCCCAAGTCGAGATTTAGGGCCACATAATTTTGACTTACAGGAGTCCGACTCAGAGTTAATTCTCGTTTCTGAATCTTTTAATTCTCGTTTCTGAATCTTTTAATTCTCGTTTCTGAATCTTTTAATTCTCGTTTCTGAATCTTCTATCTCTGAGTGTTTAACGTACAAGGCGGAGAGAATGTAGGGTCGATAATGATACGAGATAATTTCAGTTAATATATTGAACAATATTGTTTACGTTTTGTTGATAATATATTTTAGGTTGGAAAACCCTAAATAAATTTTGAAGTACTGAAGGGTTTAACGCAATAGAACCCTCACAATTACTGAACAGGATTACTTAGGAATAATGTGGTAATGTCGTAAGTAAGGTGTATTGTTCATACTTATTCCACGTAAAATGATTTAGGTACACTCTTACCCTACACACGATTTGGCGATTTTATTGTAGATTATTGATAATTTTACAACTTAAAATTTTATATGAGCGGACAAAGTTGGAGTGTAGAGCTGTATATAAATATGTGTATATATATCTACATAAAACCATATTATATGCAACATATAAAAACGGAATAATTAATAGTGTGTCTTGTATCTCCAACGTCAACAATAAATTAGTAGAATTACTTAAAATACCTTTTGACTATTACTTGAGCAGTTTTGGCCTAGTGTTGCAGCGTGCGACTCTGATGCCTGAGGGTCGTAGGTTCGATTCACGGCTGTGCACTAATGGACTTTTTTAACATTCGCTCTAACGGTGAAGGAAAACACTGTGATGAAACCGGCTTGCCTTAGACCCAAAAAGTCGATGGCATGTCAGGCAAAGGAGGCTGAACACCTACTTGCCTATTATATTGACAAATGATCACAAAACAGATACAGAAAGCTACGATTTATTTATTTAAAAACACCCTATAGACTATATTATTTTGACTGTAAATTTGACCAAGTCGCTAGACGCGCGACACAACTCCGGTTCCTGTGTCCGGCAGTCCGTGTGGATTGGATTTTTCAATTAATCTTGCTCAAAAGGAAACCGTATAGACCCAAATACTATACCGTAAGAGCCAAATTCAATAGCGTGGTTCAGGATCAGACCAGATTATAAATTTCGAGCGGGTGAGATGCGCCAAAAACGTCTATGGTGGGTGAACGTTTACTACAGCGACTAATAAATGAACGACCCTGACAGTTATTAGATAACTTAAAGTATATAAAAACTACATAGCATTACAAACTACACAAGACTGCTATTGTTAATATTACTACAAACCACAGTGGTTTTCAAATATATACAATGATTTTGATTGTATTAGTTTGTAAATAAATGAAAAAACAAAAGTGCGTGCGTACAAAGTACACATGTCAGATGTGAAAGTTCTTTGTAAATTAATTATTGAGTAATTAAGCTGCCCAAATCCCATTATTTAATTTTTCCAGCCTTTCTATATTAATGAATGATACAAAGGCTAACTAAAAACCAGAACTAAAATTAGTTGTTGTTATGTATATAGAAATACCACAATAAATATGGTAACAAATATAACAAATACATTATTATTAATATTGTTAACTTAGATCCACATTTTCTAAAATAGCCAAATGGGTCTTAGCTAAAAAGGTCTTGGTTCTGTGCCCTTATAAATAACAAAACCAACAAAAAAATGGTAAAATAGTTTCTTAATAAAATCATAATGATATTGATATATTAAAACACCATCGGTGTTCAAGTCTCAATCGCTCTCTCCCTTTTCTTCGACAAAACGCTGCACATCTTCGTGACGTTCCGTAAAAATTTTACCCTCATGCGCTTAACATAGAAAGTGTGTATGGTTGTGATTGGAACGCACGACGCGTTCAAACTCCGGGTACTGAACACTACTCATTGTTCAAATAGAATATTGCCGCCAAACAATGGATTTTCACAGATGCATCGTTAACTGTTTGTTGAGTTCATCTCTGTTTACTATGGGCATAAAAATAAACAGATGCACAGTGCGGTACTTATTTGCGGCAAAGAAAAGCCCTCGGCGCGGTGTTTCCTCACGGTCCCGTGTATTTATAGTTCAATTGGCATGGATTTACCTTTAAATTCACGAACGATATGTTCGTGTCTATGGGGCATAGACATAACATTTATTACTAACGAAACACACAAAATATGATAATAATCAAAAAAGAACAATAACAAAAAAATTTTTTTAAGGAATAATGTACATTTTAAGTGTGTAATATGTGTGTGTTAAATGAACCCATATTATACTGTCAAGGGAATATGCATGGAGCAAGGAGTTCCACTCTTTTTTTGTTTTTATAATAAACGACGAACCAAATCGTCCAGTGCGACACATGGGGATGACAACAACGACGGGGTTAAAGTTCAGCGTGCTTGTAGATTGTTTAGAAATTGATTGTGTAGTTCCATGGAGCATTCTCCGGAGTGCAATCTAGCGTAAATGTCTATTGTATAACTACGTTTCAACGTTCAAAGCAAATTCCAAATTTAAAATTTATTTATTCCCGCCAAAAATACAAAATAATAGAGAAACATAAAAACAAGACGACCATAATGTTAGGATCAGCTGATTCGCCACTGTTGCATAGGTCCTCGAAGCATTGACAGGATGTACCCAAGTGGTCGGAGTTGTCGTCTGTATAGCAGTCCTTAGCATGGGGCATCCACCCACAGCCACGGGTCACTCTCACTTCATTGTCCCGGTGTGGGTGGAAAACTGCAAATTAATTCAATTAATCCAGAGAACGCAATACATACAGCAATTCTAGATAATAGATAAGACTTTAATTAGAATTTGTTGCAAGAAAGATATCATTTATTACCCAAAAGGTTTGCTATCAGCGACTTCTACGCTTAATGTGATTTGCATTCCGTTGTTTATGCAAATATGTTCTTAATATTTTACAGTAAAATTAATTCCATAGGACCTTATTGAAAAAGCCCTACACTACACGAGATAGCGTATATGCCCATTCTCAAATATAAATCTCAATTGGAGTTTCATAGAGGTAATACTGTACCACAAAATTCATCGAGTCATCGATGTGCTTTAAATAATAGAGGATTTTATTTTCACTTTGTATTAACTCGCGGACAACAATAGAAATAATTAAATTTTAATTGCTATGAAAGGAATGCTAAATGAATTAAATGTTAAAGAGGGTGCCTGTGTATGGCTATACACTCGGGGCATAACTTCGCCAATTTAAACATCACAACGCTTATAAAACAATACTTAACTGAGCATGATGTCTAGCCAGGTTTTGTTAACATTGTTAGGAAACCAAAATCCAGTGAATCCAAGTAATATTCAGTCGATTTTGGTTTATACATATTGTTATCAATTAAATGGAACAAACATTTGAGTCCCAGTAAATATAATCGCGCTACGAGATGACACTTTAAATAATTATTACAATACTACCAGCCCTCCTGAACTACGTTTTGCCTTATTATGGTTTTTTATACTTAGCCTACCTTTTTAGTAGTTAAGCCTAGAAAAGCGGTGACGTTAACTAACGGCCGTCATTTTACGGTTGTTAATAACGGCCGTCTTTACTTTTTAACATAATGCAAAAAAACATCATTTTCGCTCAACCAAGTCTCGTTTCCTCTCATTGTATTAATTAAATATGGGCACTGCTACACGAGAAAAACGTTGAACTAATGTCTATCACCGCTAAGACGGCCGTCATACAAATGACAGCACCGCTATTTGACGTTACGGTGACACTCAACGTTCTCTAGAAAACCTACTCCGATGTTATTTATAGACAACGTATGACGTCACCCAACGCTACATTACGGCCGTTAGATAAAGGCACCGCTTTTCTAGGAAACCTAAGCTTTACATAGCAACAATGGAACATTTTGCTATGCGTCCCCATAGACTTCGATTTTGGAAATAGCAATCTAAATAAAATAAAACTATTTTCTTTACTTTTCTCCAATTTTTCTATCCATAAAAACTTTTCTCTAAGTTCATAGATTATATTCGATACTAAAAACGTAAACCTTCATGTTTCCGAATTTGGCTAAAAACTTACTTGTTTGTACAATTTTCCTGCAGAAGAATGTGATTGGTTTTGTCTTAGGAATAGCATTATCACAGTTCACGATCGAAATGATGCTGGAGCGAATTTCTTCTTCGTACTGGTTGATGTCCAAACAGGCTGAGTTGTTTGCGCTGTTGCAGTAATAGCAATGGATTGCACTGGCTGGAAAGAGATTTAAAGCTATTAGAGTCTATGGAATCGCTTTTAAGGATGATTCACGGTACACCGTGTCGCGACCGGGCCGGGTCTCGGCCGGGACACGTCCACCGTGCGCCGGCCTGGACAGTGATTCATGTTACACCGGGCTGTTTGAGTGTACGCACGTACGTGTTTGCACGACTATATCTGTTTTTGTCAGCTAGTGATTTCATCTGTCGATAGACTTGACGCTTAAGTAATTATGCAATTTTCACAATTTGAATTGGCAGCTGTTGCAATTGCCATCGATGACGAAGTATTAGAAAAACGAAGCGAAAGTACTAAAAGAAGATGGGGTGTACATCCAACCTGGAGAAAGCGAGAAGCAGAAGGGGAATTTTCTTTACTTTACAAAGAATTAATAGACGACGAGAGCAAGTTTTATGGTTATTTTAGAATGTCTTAAGAATGCTTTACTTATTTACTTGAAAAATTAAAACCAGATCTAACCAAAAAAATTACAAGATTTCAAAAGCCTATATCTCCCATCGGATTATTTCGTCCGTATTGGTTTTCCATATAATATTTTTGTATTTGTTATCTAAATACTTAGGATGGCTCATGCCGTAAATCACAGGGTACTTGCGTACACATTCTAATAATTTTTCATCGTCCATTTTACGTTGACTGAGACCTATAATTTTACGTTGACTGCTCTGCGTGTGGCCGGACGCCTACGTTCATGTTACGACGTGTCGGGGCCGGACCGTGCCGGAGCCGGGAAACAATACCCACCGACATTACAACGCCGTGCCCCGGCCGAGTCCCGGCGGCGCACGGTAAGGGCACGGCCGAGCCACGGTTAGGCATGAATTACTTCATACAAAAGTATATCATTAATTTTAGACCGTGCCTCGGCCGGGGCACGGCCCGGTCGAGACACGGTGTAGCGTAAATCATCCTTTACTGAGTTCTATGATCAATGACATTTCTCGACAACAACTATCACTACTTGTATAGAACATTAGCGTAGTTCAATGTGTTGGTCTCGATGTAATATGAGACCTAAAAAAGTTCATCAATCGAATTTAAGATGATTTCGAGAGTAAAGTTGCAATATTAATGCGAGTTTAATAATGTGGCTTACATTATTTGACTGGCGTAAGACATTAGCCGCGTACTGACTGAGCGAGCAGCCTCGGACGTTTGCTTCGCAACGTTTGCCGCGCGAGGCAGCCTCGGTCTGTAAGTTTTTAATGAGGCTGCCTCGGGGCAGTCCGAGCATGTGAGCATCGACGCTCAGTTTAACTTGAAGTCGAATAGAGACCGCCGTCCCGTATAGTTTGCCCGAGACCACCATGAGGCCGCACATTCGGAAAGCTGTGCTAACTGCCTTTTTAATAATTCTAAGGCTTGCAAAAAAGAAAACAGAAAACTAAACGTTTTTGGATTAAACTCTTATACAAAAAATAGATTACAGGCTGGGAACAGATTATTTGAAGAGTTGTGCTTCGATACGAAGAAAAAATTTCACTCGAATGAGTAAAATCGAATTTGACAATGTGTATTCTCTCATAAACGCCAAAATAAGCAAGAAGGACACAAATTTTCGAGAAGCAATATCCGCTAGGGAAAGATTATTAGTGATTAGATTTTTGGAAGGAGATTCTTATACCAGTCTACAGTATCTATTTCGTATATCAAACAAAGGATATCGGTTATGTTCTGAAGTTGTGTGTATAATTGAGGTGTTAAAGGATTATAAGGTAAAATAAAATTACATATTTTTATATTTTTTTATTAATCTGATTAGAAAATTGGACAAATAATATAAGAAAATTAAACAAACAAATATTTAATGATAGGACTGAAAGGAGGAGGGGGAGGCATCGAAATTGGTGAGATGCTTATATAACTACTTGGTAGAGATTTAGCTTCTCACAAAGGTTCACTCCCCAGGATCATTCGATGCCAAGTTGAAGGGACAGTAATACCCGGCCGATGGCGACAGGATACAGAAATGTCATCAATGCTATCTATTCAAGCCATACCAGGCGAGGATCAACAAATATAAAAGAAATACTTCACATTTAGGGAGACATTTCATAACAAACGGAGCAATTTCTTGGCAGAATAATTATCAGTAAATAATAGGTACTCACTTCTTCACCTAAAGTATCTTGTGTATTTCCTGGGTGATTTCTATCTCCTAGAAAACTGAAGGCTTCATAGGCATACCAATTCGAAACATATATTTCACCACGACCTGCAGTATAAAATAAAAAAAAAAATTAGAAATAATATAAAAACCGATGTAACTTTGAATATAATAAAATGAATGTTGTTAACCCTAATCATAAACATTAAATAATAAATACCTGATCCTGTGATTGGCTTTTTTTTCTCTCGACTTTTCCCTCCTGTAAGACCCTAGTAAAGAGTCCATTTTTTTCTTTAATTCAGCTATTGAAGGTTCATTTCGTTTTTTTCTCATATTTCCTTAGTCCTCTATTTGTGTAATCAGGAATTGCGCATCCCAAAGTCGTCTATATTCACCATATAGTCGTATTAATTTAAGACACTGTTCTTTATCCATGACGCACAACTAACAGCAACAATAAGGAGGCAAAACACTACCGTTTGAGTGAGCGCGGCAAACGTACTGAGGCGCCTTTGAACATGACAAAACCGACAACGTTCGGCTCGGCCGCGGCAGCTCGGGGAGGAGGGTGCTTTGCTCGGGGAGGAGTGACCGACGAGGATTGTGGAGGAGTCGCGAGGTTCTAGTGTAGGGTAATGAATGAGAAAATTTACTATTTAAATTAATTCATAATTATTAAGTTAAATTTTTATAAGGGTAATTAATAATATTTGAATAATAAAAATCAGTTATTTAATGACAAAAGCACATGGTTTTCAGAGACGTAAACATGCCACGTAAACACGTTTATATATATATATATATACATATATATATATATAAGTATATATACGAGTATAGATTAAATACTTATAAAATTCCTGTCGTGTCTACATTAATTGACAACCTCTTTACGAAAATTGTTGCAGAATAAACTAACATTTGCGTAGAGGGCCTCATAGCCTAGTGGTCTTATTAAGTGGCAGCTAGCCCGGAATCGAACCCGGTACGGGTTCGATTCCCGGTTCGAGGGCAAGTTTTAATTTAATTTAAATTTGTTCTCGGCCTTTGGGACGGTTGTGCGGTACCGGGCGAGTGCCTAAACCGTACATGGAGGACACGGCCGAATTTCGAAGGCAAGCACGAATTGTAAAAATCTTATACTTGACGCTGGCTAATGCACAAACCGTGCCAGAGCCATAAAAAAAAAGAAAAAAAAACATTTGCGTAATTTAAATTTCACTGTATTGTATTGTAAAGAACGGAAACTATTTCTAGGTTATATTTGCTAATCGCTTTATGTATATTCAAGTAACTTTCTTTCTTAAAAGGATTCATAAATTTAAAATATTCAAGATTAAGTATGAAAATTGTGTATTCATATATCAACTGCTTCTTCATACCGGCGTTACGCATGACCTAACACAACATTGCATAACATAAAAAGCATTTACGCAATATCGAGTACATACTAGATATATAGTTATGTACATAAATAAGTATTTGTTTACTATCTGTTTCACGTGGATCCGGTTTCGTTGTGATTATTTTATATCTGTCCGGTTTGTGAACACGCTTATTTATTTCCAAACGACAACATATGTGGTAGCTAATCATAGAAGCCAGTCCCCACACTAGAGACATCCATATGTTGTGTCTAGATGGTCTTCTGAGTATCATTTATACAGAAAACGTTAAAAAAAGCTAAGTATTTACTCCCTTTAATACCTAGAGACTTAAATTCTAAACTAAGGCAGTAATAATAAATATTAATCGAGTTTTAAGGTCTTTTGCAAGTAGCCTAATGAATATATTTTCAGTAAAAATTAGACATTTAACTCCTATAGTTATGTTATAACTAGTTTTTTGGTACAGATCTCCACAATACTTTTATATATATATAAATATATTCATCTATATCATTTGTTTTTTTCCGCCTGCTGTCATACTTGTGTACAAATTTTTTTGTGACACGCTTGGATTTTTTATATTTCTTATTACTGTTTATATAAGAAATTACTTACTAAATAAGTTAATAACAAGTAATTATAATGGTTTTTAGTTACAGATAAAGAGATGTTTAATTTAATTAAATAAATCTCTATATTATCTTTGTGTGAAAGACGGAGGCGGTCCTTACTCAGATTTTGATTAAAATTAAAATCGTCGGAACAACAAACGAACATGTTGAATTGAAACATATTAGTTTGTCTATTCATTATATTAAACAATAGTACACTTATCACACTAGAGTCATAGTTCAAAGGAATTGATAAGATTATTTAGGTATCAATAGTGGTTACTGGTTATTCTATATAACACCGCGAAACGGTGAACCAAATTTATAATAATCTAAATAACACATGCATCTTAAACTCCGCGCCAAAATGGAAAACAGTTGTGCCAATCTAACAAAAATAAACGAGAATTTAAATTTGGAACCACAAATCAAGTGTAGAGTAGAGTTACCCACAAGTCTCCATAGACACAATATTTTTTAGTTTAGAACTGTCTATTATATTATGTTTTTAAATACTATAGGTAGTATACTCACATTTATAGATAAAGGATAACAGCACAAGCATTAGAATGGCTTCTTTAGGCGTTGACATTGTATCTGCAAAATATACAAACAAATGTGCATTTGTTCATGAAATTTTTATGCCATAATTGAAATATAGACGCAAAAAATTACTCGTCGAGTTAATAGATAACGTCTAAAAATTAATAATTCCTCTTTTTCGACTGTTTTGAAGTGGGTTAAAAAAATAAATTTTTATTGCTTTTCTGGTGCTTCTTTCTACTAGTAGGTTAAATTATCATTGAAAGAAAATAATAATAAATTTTGTTTCAATTAGGAACAGATCCATTTTAGTTAGAAAGTATGAATAAATGAATGTTATATGTATGAATATTATTAAGAAATTTAAAATAAAATTCTTACTCGTTATTTATCTTTGTATTACAAAAAGTCCTTGTAATTTAACAGAATTCAATTAAATGTGATTCCATCCACATCAAATCAGTTAAATAAAATTGAAATTTTATTTAAATGTTCATAGTAATTATTACGTATTATTTTTTATATCAAATTCTTATATTTTACTTACAGAAAAATAAATAATCCCTCACACAAATTACCTCACTTCACAATTTATTACTAAACAATAGTAATTAGAAGCTATTAGAAACAGGAATTGCAAGCTAATGATCGCTCTGGGGCAGTTTTTACGTTACTGAGGTAATAAACACTCAAGTTATGTATCACAACTGTATAGCACGATCGCGCCGTCTTAATGCTTTATATTTTTCATAAAAATAAATAACATGTAGTGATTTTGTCGCGATCAAATTTACAATTTGTGTAGGTTATATTTATAAATCCGTAACATTTTTTGTTTCGTTCCAACCAACTTCTAATGTCACAGTTATATTAAATAATACCTATTGATGAAGAAATATATTATATAACTAAATTCTTTTTATATATAAAAATAAATATTAATTACACGTGTTATTTTATAAATTCTTTTTATATATATATTAAGACGTTATCTATCTAGTATTGTCTTTGATTAACATAACTTTTATTCATTTAATAAAACACTATTTTGACCGGATTGAAGTTATGTATTATTATAAATTTACAACTATTTAACATAATTTTAAATTTATCCGACGTTTCGCGTGCTTTACAGGGTGCGTGGTCACGGTGACCACGTCGTGGTGGTCGTTATCTATCTCATAATGGAATTTTAAGAGCAATTATGTTTAGTATCTAAGCACAGATCACATTTATATGTACCATACATATATAAATATATATCTGTGCTATAAAATATTGATTGACATACCTCACTTGTCCTTAAACTTGTTAATTCTAAACCTTGGTTGCTCAGTACGAATTCTGGGGAAAAATCCGTATAAATATCTCCGACTATGTGGACACAAGTGTACTAGCATGTTTGCGAGTCTACTGACATTATTTCTAGTATCAAAATTATTTAGTTCCAAATAATGTTATCTCTGGTCTATGACCTATGTCCGGCACGTAAGATAGAGTACCATTAATGCCGAATATTAACAAAACAATATATTCAATATGAACTTCTGTCACTTAACAATAAGTGCAGCGTCAAAAACGCCGATAACGCCCACTTTCGTATATAAATTTGAATGTGTTAGGGATATTTAAAATATTAACCCGTAGTATTAATGAAGAACTAATTCATATTTTATGAAAATGAACTAAAGAGAAGACGTCTTACAATATCCAAAAATATTAAAATGTTTATATTTCAGCAAGTAAAGCCGAATATAAATTGAACTTAAATTGGTGTAATTTATATTTCACTATTTATAATCTAATATTATAAAGAGGAAAGTTTTGTACGCGAATTTCGTTTTGCCTTTATATATCTAAGTATTAAGCCTACCTTTTTAAAAAGCTACATACCAACATATGGAACATTTTCCTAAGCTACCACATAGGTACCTACTGTTCGCTTTTCCGGAATAAAAATCTGAGTACTAAACGAATCAATAATTAAAAAAGTTACTCGAGTTGGTACAGCGGTCTTCATATTTTGCGCTAAAAACATATACATAGCATTTTCGTTTTTTATTAATATAGATAATTGTAATGAAAACTGTACGGGCTATACCAATATTTTTATCAAACTTAAAATACGAGTTCAATGTAGAATAAACTACTTAACTGTAGAAGTTTATTATTAACTCTTGTGTAACCGTATACTTTCAATAGTGGAAAGTGTACTTTATAAGGCTTCGACGCAACCCTTACTGTGTTTCTTGGATATAATTATCAGGAAATATTATATAATTACTCTCGAATTTACTTATAACATTTTAAACCTGATTAGAAGGTAAGACACAATAATGCACGGGACAGAAATTTCTGTGTCAAATAATTTTTTTTATAGGCTCTTGTCTGGCTGACACAGAAAATCATTAAAAAATATCGCAGTATTTCATCGTTAAAGATATGCCGGTTCTCACACCATATTAATTGCGATAGAAATATCCATTCCCTTCGACGAGCCCTAAGGGCTGAGGGTAAAGTTTAGACTCGAAATTTAGCGCTGACTATGTCATAAGCGTAATAGATTTGACATATGAGTCACGCGCCTAGACGCTAGACTAACACTGCTCATTCATAAACGTACTATATACGAGTACATAGCCTCAAATTACTGTTGTATGTTTTGTGCTAATCACATAGTCCCTATATGGAGTTATATACCTACGGCGCGATCCCAAGACTACATTAGCGCTACGGGTATTGAAATAACAATATAGAACTTGCATACAAAAACCGAGATCGGCATCGAAGTTACAGAGTACGGGCGCAGGTTTAAATTGTATAATATTTTATTGGCGTTTTGTTCCCACGAGAATGTAAGTGCGTGCTCCTATTTCACCATGCCTCCTGCTGTTAGAGGACAAATCTTTGTTTTTAATTTATTTTATTATTATTTATTACTTAAGAGGTCATGTGGAACATGGTGTAATGGTTGCAACTCCTTACAAACGTTGTGTAAAACAAATAACTTGGCGATTAAAAAGAGTGGCGGAGAGTTTATTGCCAGTTCTTCTCTTCTGTTCTACGCCCTTGATTTGAGAACTGGCAGAAAATGTAAAATTAGAAGCATTTAATGTATATTTCTTTTTTGACGTTCATAAGTGTACATTGTGTTACCTATATGAATAAATGATTTTTGACTTTGATATAGGGAGGCACTTACAACAACAGTTTAAAGTATGCCACGTGATCAAACATATTATATAACTTAAAAGTTTGTTTGAACGCGCTAATCTTAGTAGCTAGGATCATTCTACGTCCTAATTAATGAAAGCGAAACTTCAGTTTAACTTCACACCAAATTTTGTGTGTTAAACCCTTGGTTAAACTTTAATGGTAGTCGAAGCCTCGACACTAGTACATTTGGCATGGGCTCCAGAAGGAGCCTTTGTTTAGAAAAACTATCCGTTATATTGCAAAAAGTTGTTTTTGTATATAGATTTAAAATACAAAAACTACTTTACCTTGCAATAACTTATATTGCCGAATCAAAACTTACAAAATAAACTTTTTGGAGTGTGGTTTCCAATCAACGAATTTACTTTTGTATCAAAAAGTTGAATTCGTATAGTCGGAGCTTATTTGAAGTACACTCGGGTATGGTGTAGAATTTCTGCAACAGTTTCTTTAATAATCTTTGAGGATGAACTTGTGTGCCTATAAACTCAAAATAATAATTGCTATAGCAATCTCGGTATACCGAGAATCGAACCCTTTTTGGGTTCAAACTTACTCACTTTTATTTAGATTCACTCCAGGTTATATTATGCTGCGTGAGCACTACTTCCCTTTTTTACGACTATCTACGACGGTTTTAAGGTATAAAATCGACATTAAAAAACAATTGTATCCATATAACTAAAAGCCGGTTACGATATAACATTTTTGTAGGTTTTTGGTAGCTGTTTAACGTGTTTTTATAGAACGGGGGCAAACAGACTGCCAGCTGCCTTAAGACTAGCAAGACTTAAAAGCGAAGTTCATTGCCGCCCTTTTGAAAACTTTCATTAAAGAAATTATAAATAAAATATTATGTAAGCATTTTATTTTTTATTGAATCACAATCAAATCGTTATTTCAGCATAAATGTCACATTTTACAAAGACAATGTTCTTGTAATTTGGTAAATTATTAGTCATAGAACCCACATGGTGAGGCACAATTCCTCGCTTCACTTCCGAATGTCTCATGGTAATAACACAATGGTAGAGGAACCTTTTTTGTTTTCTTCGCCTTCGATTTTTTATTTAAATTGTGGTCATTTTGCACATGGTCCGATGTTTGAGAAACACTTAAAGATGTTAATTCTTTAGTAGCTTGTACTATCGAACTTAAAGATTTAGTAAAAATTTCTGCAATGGAGATCAAATCCATATAAGATTTAAGTGTCTCATCCGACTTTAACAGGTCATCAAAAACAGCAATACGCGATAGTTTAAAACTTTCTGACGACCACACGACTAACAAAGCTCGTGATTTCGAATCGGAATCTTTATAAAGACTAACGAGTCGTTTTTTTAGCGCATCGTAGAAACCATTCAAAGGCGGATACTCAGTAATATCACTCACCAATGCTTTATCAACTAAATCCAATTGAGAAATAACATCTTCTGCTAGTTCATCATCTGTGCGAACCGAATTACTCGTCAAAGCTTCGAAATTAGAAAACCAGGTGACCACGTTGTCTTTCCAAAAATTGGGAATACGAATCATAAAAGCGTTGTCTTTTTCTTGTAAAGAATTTTTGTAGATGTACAGGTTCGTTGGTGTTGTCATAATGAAAAAAATATTCGCACAAACTAGTAGCGTGATGTTCACACCACCGATGAAACACGACTGACTAGTTTCGAATTTGAGGGACCAAACAATGCGCGCATTTAGGGGATTCGACTACCTGCAAGCTTTACCGTTATTGTTCGAGTCGTGGGGTAATCCTCTCAATCGTTTTACTATTACATTATAAAATTTCTATTTCGTTGAAATACATAATTTTATGGTTTTAGTGTAATAGGAGATAAGATGGTATTTATATGAATTTGTTCTAGGAAATGTAGCTTATAGGTAATTGGCTCGAGAGGGTGTCGGTGAACTTCGTTTGACAGTCTTATTTTTGGTTTCGGGCTTTTGGGGCTTTGAATAAATAATTAATACCGTGTATTACACATAATACAATAGCGTTCTAATTATTTAGAAAGTTTATTTATTTATTTACACTTAGTTACCATAATAAACAAAATCATACATTTAAAAACAAAAAAAAACAGGTTACATAAGTTATTAGGCAACGGGCGGCCTTATCGCTAACAAGTGGTTTCTTCCAGGCAACCATAATATGGAACAATAAAAAAAGAAGCACCTACAGCGGGTAAAGTAGAAGCAGTGCATAATTAATTAACAAAAAAAACTCATAAACATGTAACTATAACTAAAATTAAATAAAGTAAAATCTAAAGAAAAAATATAAATAATAATATGTATAAACAAAAATGTAAAAGCTAATCCAAACGTTAATTGAGTCACAATTAATATATTATATAAGTTACACATTGATCGTCCCTATTACTTTATTAGCATAAGTTATGTATACATTTAAGAGATAGATCAATATTGTATCGTTATTGATTGGATTTATAGCCATTTGTTATTTTAACTATGCGTGTAACTTTATATTAAATAGTTACGGTTTTAAGTTTAGCTTCTGTGTTCTATGAAATTTTTCATTCTTGTATTTTTTACGGGGTTATCTGCAAGAAACTGCTTTTTGCATTAAGACCGCCTATTTACATCGTTTGTCTTTTTATTTTTCTCGTGTTTTTGTTATTATGTAAATAAAGTGTTATAATGATTATATAATAACACTTTTAATTAGTGTTCCATGCGGTATGAGACTAAATTGTATCATTTGCAAGTTGAGTTCTAAGCTTACGCCCGTCTTGCTTCACCATAAACATCTTAAAAATGTAATAGCGGTTTACTATATGTGAAGATTTTTAATTGGCCCACAATGTTATATATACATCTATTTCTGTATTGTGCTGTAAATCTTCTTAAATAAATAAATAAATGACTTTTAACTAGTAAAATATCAATAAAAATCCTACATAAATATATACATAAACAAGAGCTTTGTCTTATGAGAGCAACAGTTTTGCATTGTTCGCTAAATTGTGGCTTCGGGGCGTGATGAAAGGGCAGAAACAATTCCTTTATAAAGGTTCAGTTTGTCAAATTGTTGAATTTAACCATCCGTTAAGAATCGGTAGTTTAACACGATTCGATTAGTAAATTTCACATTCTATTTCAATCATTTGAAAACTAGTATCCTCCTCCACAGTTTCTACATAGTTTATTATGATGCGAGTGGGTTGTTTTGAGTTGATATATTTTTTTTTGTTCTAGACATGCGTCCGATAGTCATCGGTAAAAGCTAAAGCTACTAACAAATTTGAAACAATTTTATTTGTATATACCTGCTGCATAAACAATATGTTTGAACAACTACCTCCTTGCAGTTTTTTAAAAGGAAAATGATTTACTCTTTGTGATCTATCAAAGTGAATATCAAATGCATTATCTTCTTATATATTAAGCCGGTTGCAGACCGAAAACTAAGCTATGCCAAGCAATCTAGGCTAAGCTAAGCTAGAAATAAATAGCGTGTACACCAACAGCTAAGCCAAAGCTCAGTCAGTGTGGCGAAGGATGTGCAAAGGGTTTGCGGGCAGCGGGAGGGGCTTAGCTTAGCTCGTGTAGCTGCGCATCGGCATACACAACTAACTTAGTTTCGCATATTTTAGTTAAGCGCTTATTACACTACGCGATATTCAGACAGTCTTAGTAAGACTGTCTTAAAATCGAATTAGTCAAGCTCGCTATTACACTGGACTGAATATCGCAAGCTAACTCATTTTACTCATTGCCTGCAAAGCGTACTTAAGGTCGGTAGCCGGTTGTCTCGCGACGGGAAAACTTTCAAAGCACCAGAAAATCGCCATGGCTCCCGCGTCTATTAATTTAAATAAAGAAAAGAAACATATGGGTGAAAGAGTATTTACTTTTGCGAGAAATATTATTATCAAATATGCAATACTGAGTGTTTTGGAACCATGTGACTTAAGAAACTACCTTAGGTAGGAGTTACCGAGTTTGAATGTCTATTGAAATTAGTTTTTTTTTTTTTAGACAATTCACACCAATTGACCTAGTCCCATGCTAAGCTGGTGAAGCTTGTTTTATGGGTAATAGGCAACGGATATACACATATTATTATAGATATAGCTAGATATAAATAGCATATTTAAACACCCAAGACCTAAGCACAACACCAAATGCTCAGTCAATCGATGTTCGTCTCAGCCGGGGATCGAACCCGGGACCCATGGATTCGCAGTCAGGGGTACTAACCACTAGACCAATGAGTTACTCCATACATTCAAAAAGGATACGGTTCTTAGACAAAGTGTCAGTCCTAACAAATATTGGTAGTAACTTTAAAAAGATTCCTGGCAACGGGCAACCCTATCAAGACCTAAGGTCATCCTGAAGGACTCTGTATCCATGGTTATGAAATAAATTATTAAAAAAAATAAAAAAAACTAAGGATCAATTATTAATAAATCAATCAACATGCAGCCATAAATTTGGCATGTCTCGGTACAAATGATAATATTGAAAAGACTTTTCTTGCGAACACGCCATGGTGCACGCGGCCACAGAAACAAACATGTACGAACGTTTTGCTCTGCGGCTGCCACGCGCTGACTGAACGGTTAAGCGTGCTAAGTCTTATTACACTACGCGTATTCAGCAAGTAAGCAAGTAAGCACCGCCGAACCCATTCGGTCAGTCTAATTAGACAGGCTAACTTGCTAACTCTTATTACATTATGCTAATCTTAGACTGTCTGAATATCGCGTAGTTTAATAAGCACTTTAGCTCACATAGCTTAGTTCGCATAGTTTGCAGTCTGCACACAAGTATGGAAAACTGCGACAGCTATGCGAGCTAAGCTAAACTAACTTAGCTTAGCTCTTGGCCTGCAACCCGTATTAAGGTCTATAACTGTAATTAATTTAATATGTGTTATTCATATTCAGACGTTATGCATCCTTTCTAGCAAGCTTGGATTGCGCCGCGTTATTAAATATTTATTGAATATCGAGATGATATTTGACATTGTAAAAGAAATCCCTAACTGCGTGGGTTTAATTTAGATATTATAATACACATATTTATTGTACATAGTTGAACAGCCTGATATAAAATTGTAATAAAAATACTACGAACTCTCTGTGAAGCTTGTATTTTTTGAATATCTTTTTTTTTAATATTTAGAAGGAATGATAATAGTAAAGTGCTGTCAAAAACGGTTTTTTTTTTTAAAGTTTTATATGCTGTAATTAAAATCAATTCAGATGTCATTTTATATTCCCCGTTGCTTTTGATTGACAACTTGACATACCAAAGTACGTTTTAAAGCAATATTTAGATTTTTTTTAAGTTTTATTATGTTTTGCGAAGATGCCTGTCTGGGGAGTTCTTGTGGGTTACAAAAAATGAGGAGTATTAATGATAAGCTGAACACGGAGGTTGTGGAACGAATAAATGGCTCTCAGGAGCTGGTGATGCTCACTAACTTTGCTCGGGAGTCCAACGAGTACCATTATAAGAAATGCCTTCAGGAAAGGTATTTGGGCTCCTCACTTTATATGACGCGGAATTTAGAGTCATTAAACTTATTACGAGGGGTTTTTCTATCGATTCGTGAATTTTTACAACTTTAAAAATCTGCGGGGCTAATATTTTATAAGGAGACTATTACTGACACGACGGCTATATTTTTGGACCGCGTTATCTAAAGTCTTAGCACTATATATAAGTTCGATTACTGTATATTCGTTTACAGAATATGAATATCTAAAGATACCAGGGATACTTGAGACAAAAACACTACGGCGTAACCTACAAAATTGTCACGTTACGAACAGAGTGTGAGGCGTGAGCTAATGTCATTCCTATAGTCCATACAAAATTCTCAAAAAATTCTGTAGAGAATTTTGTATTCTAGAATATTGATATAATAAATACAAATAGCAAAAAACCCATAGGAAATGAGATATTTCCAAAAAAAGCGCAAAAAACCGATTTTTGTGACCTTTGACCTTGAAATTTAATAGTTGCTTACACCCTACCATATGTAGGTTTTGAGACAACTTTTAAGGTGTCAATATACAAGTATTTACAGACTTACAGCTGGGTATCTCGAATTCCGAGATTCTTACCTAATTTAAGCTTAAATGACTGGACTACTATACAAATTCGTTTGGCGTTTTTTATCTCGGGCTCCAGGATTCATAGAGCACGTCGTAAGCAAGCGAGCAATGACGTCTACTTGTAAGAAGTCGGTAATGAAGCACGGATTGGTTACTACGTCGGTTTCATTGATATTTTTGATAAGTACACTGATACACTGAAGTATTTATTATTATTAAGAGAGCGTACCAATTCTTGAAAGGCCGACAACGCACTTGCGAGCCTTCTGGCAATGTGATTGTCCATGGGCGGCGGTATCACTTAACATCAGGTGGCCTGCTGCCCGTTTGCCTCCTATTACATTAAAAAAAGTACCTTCTACTGATACAAACCTATATTTTTTTTGTAAGACATCGAATGATCGAACCCTTTGGATACCTGCATGTAGACACTTCGAGGCATGGATGCGGTCAACATCTACCTACAAAAAACGAAAATATAACGAAACATAACAAACTGAAGTATGGTGAACACATAACCGCATTGATTAATTTAGAATTTCAGATGTCAGCTCCTGGAGATGGGTGCTTGAAGATCTCTCAAAACGTCTTGATGAAGCAATTCGAGCTCTGAAGTATGAGGAAAATGCACTACGAGTAGTGGTTGAGCGTATAAAGGATGAAATTCAGACAAAACAAGCATCAAGGCCTGGTGCCATGAATCCTCTTTGCGATGTAGTCGAGGAAGCAATCAAGCAGGTATAAATTATAAAATCATCAGGGTTAAATGGTAGTAAAGCCGAAGATTACTGTTCCATCGGACTATGAGGTTGCTTTTAAAAACGTATGTATATATAGTAGGGTCTCAATATATGCTAAGAATAGCGGCCTAGGGTCCATTGGCAATCACAGTTTAAGGTTTTTACTTATATTAATGTGAAGTGTATTTTACTTATTTGAAACAATGGCTACATGGCAAAAATATATTTTCCCATTTATACATAGAATTGTGATTTTGTCGCTGGATATAACAGTTTTCGTACTTTCGTTTAGTTCAAACTACGCACAACTAGTTTACCTACAGTTCTCTAAACAGTCATCGGATGAAGTGCGTAATGTAGTGCTTTTTTTAATATAGAAAATATTTTTTTAAATGGAATCCAACCAGATTAAAAAATAAAAACTCGGATAGTAGACCACATCCTTAAATATTCTTTAAGTCTTTTAATAAATGTCATGTTTAATTTTGCAGGAGTATAATTTCCTAAAGGAAGAAAAGAAGAAATTTGAAAACCTTATTCCAGAACTGGAACAACAGACTGCACACTTGGAGAAGACTAAAAAAAGAATAGACAAAGATATACAAGTCAAAGACCAGGCTATTAGCGTAGACGAAAACTGTGTGGATAAGAATTACTCAGATGCAGTTGTTGATGCTAATTGGAAAGAGAAAAAGAAAAAGTAAGCTTTGACCTTAATAATTCGCAGAGCTGTATGACCAGGGTTCGATTCGACGTCTATAGATTTGCCTTTCTGGTCAAATTGCGGTCCACCTGTCTAGTTATCGTAAAAAACATGGCGCCTGCCACAGATACCTATAGCAAAAAAAGATCTGAATTTTTCATATTTTTACAGAGGTTTACCGATAAAGAAATGGGAAAAGCGATGTCTCACTTTGAAAAGAGCTGGATTGAGAGCTTTGACTAATTCTATTGTTACACGACAACAGGTAAGTCGCGGGTTTTACAATTACTAACCAATCCTCCCAACCATAAACAAGTGGTTCTAAAGTCAAGGTGCGCTTTGTGTTTAAAAGAAAATGAACTTAATCCTCGTGATTGCTAATATTAAAGCTCTAGGCGTTAACAACATCACTAATGTTCTTATAAATTAATCCGATTTAATAGAATTGTTGCAGAACTGAATTATGTGTTACTAAATTTTCTATAAGAATGTGTATGTTTTTGTGTCGAAAAAATGAACGTGTTTGACGAAGAGAATATACCGTAATTGTGGAAAGGTAAAAAAAAAATCTGCTGTCGTTAGGTGAAATGGATAAAGAATTGATCAGTGGTTTAATCAATGTTATAGCACAGGATAGAAATGGCAGGTGTATGCGGCACTAAAAGAACAGCTTATTTATATAGACTGTGAGGAGCCCGATGTTGTTATTTCCTACGTAGATAAGAAATCTCGTGGTGACATTTTTAACATAATAATGGATTTAATCTAGCTCAGAGACTTCATGAAAATCGCAAATTAGTTTATTTCCAAAGAAAAGGGTTTGACCATAAGACGTTGTAGGCAATATACACACAATGATTTAGAGCAATCTATGATGTCAAAGATAAAAAACCAAACAAGTGTGCAACACAAATTGACACAACAAAGTATCTAGGTGATATTAATTGAATTAAACATTTTCATTACGTATTTTTTACTTGCAGTGTTCTATGTACATATGTATTATGCTCTTGTTATAAGCAATAATAAGCTAAGCTTGATACTTTCTACACCTTTTTCTTCGTAACACCGCATTCATAAATTTCTATGCTACCTTTATTTATGGTCTCCTTAGGTTAGAGGAGCGAGGATCCAACTGTCTTATGCTGCGCAGGCGATGTCCGCTCGCGTAGACACTGTATTGAGGCGACGCATACATTCAAACGCACACAAGTTGGACGATTTAAAATGGCAAAAGGAAGAGGTGGGAAAATTTTTGACACTTAAGCTATTTTGATCTCTAATAGACATTAAGTGCGTGCTTATAATCGATTTTATTAGGGAATGGACTCACCATAGAATAGAATTTAATTATAATAATACAATGAATAATCATCATTAGTGGAGTTGTTACTTCGTAAGCAATTTCGTGCTTACTTTACTTTAGATTATGAGTTCAGAAAGTCAGTCATTCAATTGAGATTCTTATTTATCATAATATTACAGTTAACCAGCTGATAGTAATATTGTTTAAAGGCAATCCGCGACCTCAGATCCCTTGAAGAAGAACAAGCCTATTCAGAACAGAATCTTATAGAAGTAATGAATCAGGAGAGAGTGGTTGCAGCCAGAATTATGGATAGAGCGAAAAAACCGAGTCGCGAACTTATTATGGACGATGCCAATCGAAAATTAAGAACTCAATTGTCCCAAATACGGACATTTTCTAAAGAGTTAACAAATAATATTGATAGAATTGTGTAGGTAGCCTTGTCTTGTTATAGTTTGAAAAATAGTTTTAATAAAAATAGTTTCTAAAGCTTGAAAAGAAAGAAAGAAAAATCTTCATTATCAATAAAAAGGATCCCGGTGTCGTGGGCAGCCATTTTAACGTGAGATGTTTATTAATTAATTCTATGCCTATTAAGACATAATATCTTCTTATAAATTTCGTAAAAATCGACTAAATATCTTAATTTCTTTAAGGCCTAAATTTATTGAATAGCATAGGTTTATGTTATGATTTTAGTGAATGCATGCTGAGCTGCTCTGCCAAATCTTTTAAACATTTCTATTACATCATTTCCTCTAAAGGGAGCGTTCAAGTATTACGTAACGCAATTTTTGGAGATTATTGACCTCCCCCCCCCATTTATCTCGCCGTAACGTTTTTCAGTGCCCTAGTACAGTACTTTACTCAAGTATAGTAAAACGTTTCGTGACCACCTTGTCTTTTTAGTTACTATTATGTAGGGTAAGTCGAAAATAATATTAACAATAACGCGTAATTCAATCACCGCCCCGCATCGTAACGTTTTACAAAAGGAAAAAAGAAAAAAAATAGATACAAGCACCCCCACCTTTGGAACACCAGAATGAGCAAAACAAGCTCTGAAAAACCTGAATTTTAATGAATTAAAACCATTTTAATGTTGACAAATTTTCAGATCCCTCCAACATGCAGTGTCAAATGCAATCTCGAAAATAGATTGCACCTTGAATGATCTATCACATATATTAATATTGGATGAAGAACGATTAAGTTCAAGAACTGGTGAGGTAGAACAGAAGTCTTCAAGTACAGTATCAATTTCATCGCACTCCAAAATGAAACTACAATCTTCAGAACAACTTACTGTAATACAGGAAGAGAATGAAGATGATTATCCCTTTGATTTTTGATTAATTTTAATTGTAAATGTTATAAAATATATATATTGCTTTTAGAATTGTTATGAATATTAATAGTACTTATCATATACTAAAATCAAATTCATGACCATCTATAACATTTGGTATTATTAGGCTTAGATACACTGACCCATAATATGTGAGTTTTATACTAGTTAATATAACAGCTTATTAATAAATTGTATTTATAAAGCATTATCTAAAAACATGTGAAACATAATATTTCTCATGCTATAGGCAAGAAAATTCAGCATTTAACAAACCTCTTAGTGCTTTGAGATTTTTAAGCATTCTTATGCCGTTTTCCTTTAATATGTCTTTCCAAATTGTCAATATTACAAGATACTAGTGTTTTACACCTATTACAAGTTGCCTTATCTTCAGTGGAATTTGTAAGATAATTATCAATTACTATGTCTTGACCTTCAATTAATCTGACAATTTTGCTTAACTTAACATAATGTTCACTATCATCAATATGATCAAAGATCTTTTCTATATAATTTGCAAAGTATTTTTGACAGATTTTACACCATAAGTCTTCATCATTATCATCAACAGAGAAAATACCATTAAATGGTTGTAGGGCCATTGCTTTTGATCTCATATGTTTTGGACTTTGAATGTGACTTTGTATTTCTTTTACTGTAAAGTCCACGAACTGATCACATATTGTACAGTGAGACTTTGTTCCTTGTTCTGTTGATGCCCAACTCTGTACAATCATTGATGGCAATTCAATAAATGCTCCATCTTTTTCCACAAAATTATGAATTTCTTGTAACTGTCCCTGATGCTTAGATGTCTGTATGTGATCTAGATCTGTGATTTTGACATAGCACAAGCAGCAGCAATCACATAGAATATTATTCAGGATCAGGATTTTCTTAATATAATTTTTTTTGTGCCTTTCTCCATTTATGTGAAGTTCAATTGCTGTATTTTTATTTTCCAAGGAGATTTTGCATAGGATGCAAAGAACTGAGTTACCATCTTGTGTCACAATAATATCTTCATAGTATACCATATTGATCTGAAACTGTAAATTTTTCAAAGGTTAATGTTTATATTTTTAATAAAAGTTCTCTAGAATGTTATAAAATCTTAAGATAGGATTATTGACTTACATGGTTTATTTAATTAGTCTACAGAACTATTACTATTATTATTCACTGCAATCTGCAAGTGCGCAGTTTCATGCACTAAGATATGAAGAAATATCCCTTAAATGACTTAATATTTTCAAATTTACTTGAGCTGTCACTACACACTTGTAATCGAAATTTATAATTTTAGTATGTGAAACTATTACAGCTAAAGAAATATATATTTCTGTTAAGAATGCGATCCGGTTGGACTGATTAAATTCACTTCAGTTCGAAGCACTACGCAGAAAATATGATTGTTGGGGAATTCCCGAGACTAGAACACGTTTAGTTATTCATTTTTAGAATTATATTATTGTAGAGTGTAAACAAAGATTCAGAATCAGTTAGTTTATAGTTACACTGACTAAGTAGTTATTAACAGTAATTTCAAAAAGTCTGAACATACTTTCCTAAATAAGAGTTTATAACTTATAACTATAATTATAATTCCAAATATGTACTAAAATGCAGGCCCCCGGCCCGTCCTTTATCAATTATTTGTTATCAATTCTAATTTCGACTTGTATTTTTTGGTATAGTCTGTTATATTAATATTTAATATTGTTCCCAAATCACAGATTGTTAGATAAATTTAACCTAATAGTGTTCTGGGTTAGTTGACTTGACTTCTATCAAGTCAAGTGTCAATTGTCATCATCTCAATTCTCATTTCTCAACTGTATTCTGTAAATTGTAATCGGTATTCGGTATTGAGTAATGAGTATTCGATATTCGTTACTCAGAAATCGGAAGTCGGAACTCGCAAGAAAATATTGTCATCTATTATTAAATTTAAACTGTTCAAAATATTGTGCGATTATTTAAGTCTAGATAATTTTGTAAGCCTTGTTATTTTTCACTTATCTTATAAAAAAACATGGCTAACGGGGGTGAAGAACATTCTGTGTCGGTGGACAAAGCGAATAAATTTATTGAAAATTTATCGGTAAATATTCAATGTTGTTTAATTATTGCATATACAATATAAATTTTACGATGATCATTTCCATTTCCATATAATTAATTAAGAAATCCAGCCATCTTGGCAGTCAATACACAAAAAATAGACACAGATGTATACAAGCATTAATAAAAAAAAATGGTGTTACTTAAAAGGTTTTTTATGATATAAATCACATATTGTATTTTTTTACTTAAAATACTTCATACCGAAGCTTGTAAGAGTGAAATTTATCTATAAAAAATGTGAATATCCAAATTTCTAGATGCTTATGCAAGAGTAAGCCTTAAAGTTTCTCTTTTTTTCTATAAAAAAACTTCCATAAGATACCTATGTGCACTTAGAAAAAAATTCCGGTCAGATTCCACATTCATTGTTCTTTGTAACTACTTTCTACATTGTATTGTTAATATTAGTTCTATCATTAAACCAAAATAATTGGATCTTATTCTCCTGATTATTATCTTAATTTCAGAAAGAGTTACAAGAATTATATTCTTATCGTGATATGTTCTTTGAGAACCATCCCATAGAAATGGCAAAAAATAAGCATAAATATGTGGAAGAGAAAAAGGACAAATTAATAGAAAAATTTGAAAGTGTTGATGGTAAAATAAATAAAATCTATTGATAATTTGTCTGTCTTTGCCTAATAAAATAACAAGTATTCTATTACCTTTCATCTCATATCATTATTATATTATTGTAAGTTGTGAAGTATAACCAGTAAAGAAGTATAAGGCACTTATAATTCTTTGTGTTTCTCAAGTCTTTATTAGAAGACTTTAATAGGAATCACTCAGGACCTTTGAGTTTTATTTAATAAAACCAACTAACAAAATCTCAGGGGTGATAAATACAAATCCAAGTCGGCCTATACTATAGGTTAAACAGAGCTAGGCTGTCTAATGCTTATGACTTTTTTCATATTTTTTAGTGGACACTGAAATTCCATTTTCGCTTAGAGCCCAATTTCAATATCTAAAAGGAAGATGTTATAATGTGAGTATTAAATATGACGCAAGAGCTACTCAGTCTTTGAGTAAAGCTGTTAAATTAAACCCTCATATGGTTGAAGCATGGAATGAACTTGGGGAGTGCTATTGGAAAAATATGAATATTAAAGAAGCCAGGGCTTGCTTTGAAGGTGCCTTGAAACATGTATGTATTATTTTATATAATTTACTATCCATTTATGATTAACCTGCAAAAGTAGATTTCAATGATAAGAATTAAGAGATACTGCAGTTAAACTCAAATAATTGTAGAAATGCTGCTTTTGCCAAAAAAACTGATTAGTATTATATGAAAACTTTGTGAGACTAACTGTAACGCTATCATTAGTGTCCTCAACCTGTGTGTGTCATTTATAGCATTTTGTAGGAAAGAAATAGAATATCACTCCGTTGCCTCTCCATAATACTACGGCAAGAAGCTGGTGCAAAGAAAGATGGTGAAGCTACACAAATGATACTAAAAAGTGTTGAGTATGCTAAAGAAGCCGTTTCACAAGATACTGCAGATGGTCAGTCATGGATAATTTTGGGCAATTCCTACCTTTGCCAGTATTTCACAGTGTCACAAGATCCAGCAATTTTAAAGCAATGCATGAGTGCATACAAACAGGCTTTCACAGACCTAATCGCAAGAGGCCAACCCGATCTGTACTATAATAAGGCTATTGTAAGTATAATAACAATAAGTCTTTATTCATCCACACTTTATTCACATACATTTAACAAAAATATAGATATTAAAAAAAACCTGTTTGGGAGAAGGAACTCTTCAACTTTTTCCACCCTATTTTATCTTGCGATATCGGCATCCAATTTTTTCCGCCTACCCTTTCGATCCCGTCGGCGTATCGCTCTGTTTTTTTTTCTTTTGGACCAGTCTATTCGGTTACTGTTTTAGACCATCTGTCATCTGTATATCGTGCCCTGCCCATCTCCATTTAAGTTGTAGGGCGTGTTGTGCAGCATCAATTATTTTTGTATTTCTGCGAATACATTCACTTTTATGTTTTTCGCATAATTTAATTCCGTGAATACTTCTTTCTATGGCAAGCTGTCACGAACGTGTTTTGTTTTGTTTTTGAAAATCCAAGTTTGTGCTGTGTACATATGGAATATGTAAGGCAAGGCTGCAAGCAGGAATTCGCCACCTTTTTCTTTAGTTTAGTGAGGGATATCTTACCTATTGTAAAAAATAAAGTAATGTCAATGCCAAATGATCCTTTGGCGTTGCGTAGAGATGTGGGGTCACTCTGCATCTTCTACCGCATTTACCATGGAGAGTGTTCAGAGGAGTTGTTCGGATTAATACCTGCAGCTGAGTTTCATCATCGGACGTCGAGACAGAATACGAAATTCCACCCGTAACACCTCGACGTCCGCCGTTCCACAACTGAGCGTTTTTCAAGGCAGTTTTTGCCGCGCACCACCACTATGTGGAATCAGCTGCCCACTGAAGTATTTCCGAACCAATTCGACTTAGGGTCAAGAAAAGAGCGTACCAATTCTTAAAAGGCCGGCACTCGCGAGCCCTCTGGCAATGAGAGTGTCCATGGGCGGCGGTATCACTTAACATCAGGTGAGCCTCCTGCCCGTTTGCCCGCCGTTCTATAAAAAAATAAAAAAATGTAGTCTGTATATCATATTTCTAACACAACATTAGGTTGTGTAATTTTTTTAAATTTTAAAGTTGTTTTGCTGCATACATCAATGGATGCATGTTACTGGAGGTAGTAAGACTACTTCCAAAAATCTAAATTCCTGTTATGGTTTGGAATAAAAATTCATACAACAATATTTTATGTCACAGAGACAAATTCTATTCAGCTTTCCAATCCTAAAGCATTTTTAAATCCTTGAAATCTATTGGGTTTATAGTGAAAATCGAATGGTTTTTTTGTTTTAGTTATACACATAAGTAAAATAAAAGATACATTATCCTATTGCTTAGGGCCTTTTCACACGTACCACAACCACACCACGACCACAACAACACCACGACCACAACCACACCTCAACCACACCACGTCGCCGGGCGTATATTTTGTATTGAAAATGAATAGGACTATTCACACGTGCCACATTTTGCAGTCGTTATCGACCGTGTGTGTGATACCGACCACATCGCAACCACAACGCAACCACCAGCCGCACTGCGAACTAGTGGCCGACCACATCGCAAACAAAACGTTGCGTAGACGCAACGACAGTGCGCGCCCGCCGCTTTTGCCCTCTTCCGGTTCATTCATTCTGCGTTCGACTAAGGTGACAAAGTTTCCTCTTCGAATTCCATGAGTTTGGTCAGTCAACTCCGGCTTTCATAGCGGAAACACGTTCCGCAACTGTGTTTGCACACGACGTAACCGCATCGCAACTACTGGCGACAATGCAACCACATCGACATTTTGTCGGTACCACAACGCAACTTCAAAAAGCTGCAGCGACACTATTCACACGTAACCACTGCTTCACAGCATTTTGTCGTTGCGACGTGGTGTGGTTGTGGTACGTGTGAAACAGCCCTTAGTCAGTACTGTAATAGAGCGAGTCCAAGTGAAATTAAATGTGCCCATTCCAGTATAATCTTACGCCCACCAGAAGATTTCGCCTTACTAATTCTAAATTCTGGATCCATAAGAAACCTCATACAGGCCTCTATTAAAAATTTTCAAAGGTTATACTATGATAATTTATTTAGAACTCGATTGCGATTATTGATTTTTTGTACTAAACTAAACATAGAATCGGACTAAATATAGAATCGGTAATTACTGCCAATGTCATGACATATTGGATGTTTTACAGTTGTTCATGTTTTGAGACCTATTAAATTATTTAAATCCACCAATTAAATATCATGGCTATTATTTGTGACTTATAAATATTTTTACAATACTACACTCATTCACTCATTCTTAATTTGTAACACAATTTTTTTTTAACTGTTTTAAACATGTACCACGGAATAATTGCTTTCTAGCTACCCACAACACAGGGCCTCCCTAGTGTGGGGACTAGCCATAACTGAATTCTGTCACAACCCTTTTGTCATAAATAAAGTTTTTATTATTATTATATACAGTGGAATCTCTATATCCGTTAAGTTGAAATCCTCAGTAAGACGAAAAAAACTGCCATTCTTATTTTATTTTTAACGTCCAAAATGAATGTTCGGGTTCAGGGCTTGTAAGCTATTTTTTTTGTCTTGTACACGTGCAATTAATGAATAAATTCATTGCATACAATATAAAAATACACTTAGAATTCGCGCCTCTGTAAGTCGAAATTTCACCAGTTAAATCATATGTATCTCGAAGTTCTTGTTAAGTCGAAAACTCGTTAACTTGAATATTGAATAAATAATTGCATTTACCTTGATATTGGAGTTATGGAGATTTCACTGTATTATATAAGTTGCTGAAACCACAATGAATAATGGATTTATCATCCATTATCATTAGTTTATGGGCCTTTTATGTATTTGGTACATAAGTCCATAAATACATGTGTAGTGTATTTATGGACGTATTTTTATTATGATTTTAATACTAACCCAATTTAATGATTTAACTTTGAATTATTAAAACCGACTATTCTATTTCGATAACGAAAAACAAACATAATTATGATATTTATTATTATTTACTATTTATTGAATTATACTATTATTTTCAAGTCATTTTATAACTTCAAGACCACAATGTACAAACATCCATCTGTATGCGTCTCCTCCCTACTTTTTATGACTAAACAAATCACGTGTTAGCTTTTAATATTTATTTAATTAAATTTTAAACATTTTTTATGCAACATATTCATAAGAATCTTCCTACAAGTGCGCATGTGCAATAGTTACTCATTGACTCGTTCGATTGCTTACGAATGAGGGATTTTTCTAACAGCTAAGAAAAGTAGTTCCAAATTAGTCAATAGATGGCATTTTCAAGTAAAGGTTTTTGTTATTTTAATGGGACTTGCCAGTTTATTCTGTTGTCTTTTCTTTTGGCTCTTGCATTTGATTGTGATTGGTCTTTGGGCAACTTTGGGTGCTAAAATCATGGAAAAAACGTTTCATCATCCTTGTATTGTTAAAACGTACAAAATTGGTACGCACCATTTCCCATTTTTTTAATAATAACAAAACAGAGGAGAACAGAACATTCGCGTAACCACCAAGTTTTTATCTGTGGCAAGCAATAAGAAAAAAAGGTAAACCCTTGCGATCAAGCGCCATCTCATCGTAGCTTTTAGAACTATCTTTTTTTTAAATAGCTGTCAGAAAAATCCCTCATTGACTAGAACATCTGCCCGAAGTGAGACGGTCGATTCGGAGTAGGGAATAGATTATTAAAGAGGTACAACCTTTTAACTCCAAACATGCGCACGGGCAATTCCTTTGTTCAAGTTGGAAGTTATTCAATTTACGTAAAATCAGTGAAATGAAATATATAATATTGAATCAAGTCATCATTGGAGTGTTTAATTTCCTACTTTAAGAACTAGAACAACTAGCCCTTACACATGTATGAAATAAATAATACGATTACAATAAATATACTGTTCCAATTTCCAGGCATTGAAGTACGAAGAGAAATACAGTGAGGCCCTAGATACGTTTAACAGGGCGTGTGACCTCGACCCTCTATGGATGCCACCGACTCGCGAGCGCGCAAAATTACGACAATTCTTGGCCAGTGCTGTTGATTTACTGCGCACACGTGGCAAGATTAAGTGCAAACGCCTTGCTAACATGCTACAAGTAGGTATACTTAGATCTTAGTTGGACGGACGAAAGACAAAACGACAAATCGTTTCGTTTGGCTGTGATTGGTTATCAGTAACTCTTGTGTAACGCGCGTTGACACGTAACATATCGCTTGGCCCGGGGAAAAAAGTCGTAAAATAATATTTTTTTTCAGGCTATTATTACTAGGATACTAAGGACATAACATATACAATTATATATATCAAATGAAAGCTATTCTATTTTACGATTTAAACATTATGTTATGTATTTAGTGTAAATACTTAGTTAAAAAATAACTATTACATCATAGTAATTTATCTAATGATACTGAAGAGCAAAAGCGTTTTAAGATTGTTTTACTGTTTATATTACGGACTATTTTTTATTACATGATTACGGACGGCACAGTACGCGAACATTACGACGGCACATTTTGACGAATGTCTAGAACGTAATAATCTATTAACACTATTCACGGAAATATTATGGCATTGGTGAAACAGTGATATATTATAACCACTATTTATTTGTTTTTTAAATTAACTTTTATGATTATTTAGTAGAATTACCATCTAAACTAAATCTATTTTTATAGGCACATACCAACAGATTAAGCAATTGTCGACATTAATGGGTATTTCAGGAAAGTATAATTAGTTATTCCCGTTGTCCGCTCTTTCTTAAATTTCTTTAAACGAGTATTACTTACATTGTGTAGAAAATAACTTGTATTTTAAAAATTTATGTAAAAAAAAAAAAAACATATAAATAACTGTAATTTTTTTCAGAATTTTTGCAAACCATTAATTTTTTATAAAAAAACGCAAGGGTAAATTCTCCGGAAATTATTTTGTACACAATGGAAAAAAAAAAAAAAAAAAAAAAAAATAAAAAAAAAAAAATCAATGACCAAGGAAGTCAAAAATGAGAAAACATTAAAGCAGTCGTAATAATGCTTTACGACTTTACGACAGGTTCCACTATCATTGTACCTATCTCCTATTATATATACATATGTATTGTATATATTGGGGTACAATTATTATAGGTCGGTTATCGAAAGCTGGCGGGTTCACAGTACTCACACTAATGCAATTTCACATACAGTATGTTTCAAAATATGATATTTTTGCCAAGCTATATATTTTAGTCCACTCAGGTTTTAGTAAGGTTGGGTGGGTTGTAAATAAATAAAAATGTGTCAAATACATATAAATATTAGGTGCATACGAGGGTGGATCCAAAAGTTCTAAGCCAGACCAAGAACGTGAAAGAGTAGTTCGTGTAAATAATTTTTCATTTTTCGACATACGCTCCATCTAGCCATGACTTTGTTGGTCGACAAAACGACCTTAGCCGTTTTCGGAGTAGGTGATCCAGATATTTTCCATTGTTTGGACTGTTGCTTTGATTCAGGAGTATGGTGGTGAACCCGGCTTTCAACAAATAACAAAAAAATCAAATCAGCTTTCATCATCTGATGTCAAATGAAATATAACATTTTTTCATTAAACTGTTTTTATTAAGATGCTTAAAATAATTAAAAACATTGTGCACCATTTCACGAGATTGCCCTGGTAATGTTTGAAAAAAAATCAACATGTATAGTAAAGATCAACATAAACAGTAGCAAAAGCAAAACAATAACTCTCTTTTATACTCATAAGCTTGACCGAGCGCGAGAGAGACCGACAGTCTTTTCATGATGTATTTGTGATTGTATTTCAGTTTGACATCACGCCTCGCGCTTATTCACAGACACTACACAAGTACAAAGTGTAAATGTGTTGAAGCCGCCAGCTTTAAATAACATACCAATAAGGGTTTTTGATTATCTTTTTTCATTTTTTTTATTATAACTGAAATTACACATGCTACCTTTTTGCGAAATTAAATTTTTGACATATACCTTTTATTTTCAGTCTGTGGACAAAAAGATGTTAGGCGACTACTTGCCTGACCAATTCGTGACCCTTGGAGCGAGGCGAGATGTTAACCTCGAGTTGGTAAGAATAAATGCCCTACAAGAGGGTCCCAATGAGAACAAAGTGATATTGGGACGCGTGGTCGGCTCTATACATAGCGAGAATGCAGTGCCCTTGTAAGTATATTCTTTAGAACCTATAAAGCCGAATACGCTTATTCCATTCAATTAGTCCCCCCTCTATCATATTGAATATCTCATATGAAGCACTTATTGTCTATCTCCCTCTTTTCTATGATTGTTGAAGTACACGGTTTTATATATTATTAAAGTTAAAGTCACTTTAGTTTCTTCTTTCTAGTTCCTAAAAGTTCGCTTATAAAGCTCTCCAGCCAATCAATCAATCTCATCAGCCATTACATTTATTACTGTTTTTCGTTGTAACGTTTTATATACAGGCGCGTAAACAAATATAACCCATGGAACTTCTGACAAATGACATTGACATTGACAAGTACATTTCTGTCATTTTTATTAGGATATTTCGGTGAAATTTTAGGTGAGGCATTCACTGAGTTTTGTTGAACATAGTTGAAACACGATAATTTTCAGCACAGGTACAGGTGTTTGTCTGTAGGTTCTGGGATTTATTCCTGGTGACACAACTATGGTTTCGCGTTGTAACACTTGCTATCTATTTATAATCTTTCTATTCTACTTTTATTTGAAATTTCAAAAAACAAATATAAACAGACTAATTTTAATGTAACTTCTAAATTACATTTGTAACTCGAAGACTTTTAAACATCGTGAATATTTGTTACCACGTTTTAGTCTTATTTCCATATAAAAATGCTAACCCTAGTACTGAATACCATACTAAATATAGTCCACGTTTTATAATAAGCTTGATACATTATGAATTTGTTAATAATTTTTGTATTGATTTCAGCGCTTTCGCCATTATAGATGACAGTATGAAGTGTGTGTTAGTAACGGCATACAATTGGGCGGCTGGAAGGGGCACCCTCATTGGGGACTGGGTTGCCATCCCAGAACCGCATTTGAAATCCCATAATGTTGTCACACCGGAAATGGTAAATCTTTTTCCATTTTTGTCAGAAAACTTATGTTTATGTCCATAAATTAATAAAAAAAGTTGAGCAACACGGCAGTTATAAAAATGATATTTAAAACCTATAATCTCTTTCTCAGTCTAATTAACTAAAATACTCCTTTGTCTTTTTCTGTGAAATTATGTTTACGCTGCGTTCAAAAGAGACATAATACTTAAACTAAAATGGTGGATTTAGACTTATTATTTTTTTTCAATAATGGGATATAAATCATATATATGCGTTTGAGCTGTCAGAATCTGACATCGGTAAAAAGCTAGGCTCTTCGTAATATGATGAATTTTCTTACTTTAATCATATTTAATTAATTTTTATTAATAATTTATTTCAGAAATACGTTTTCCAGTCGATCCGTGTTAATAATCCAATGAACTTATTCGTCAATGGACGTCGCGTGGAGCGTTCGCAAATTGCGGGCACGCGCGTCTCTAGTACGTACGAGATGCACTGACGTCTATCTGCTTTCTTCTCGCAAGGCCGATTGACGTAGGTGCGAGAGAGATAGCAATACTGGATACTTTGAATTAGCCGTTTTCAATGTGGAGTGATAGGGTTGAACTTGTACCAGAATTTTATAAAATTATGCATTTTTGAGCTTGTCTTTACTTGGTAAAGAGTTGTGCTGGCGTTGTGAAGGTGAACGTACGAAATTATAGAATATTGGGAAATTATACATATGAGAATGGCGAAAAATATGGACATTTAAATTAACAAAAGACTATTGAAATATAATTTTGTTGGTGATACATTACGTATTACGAATCGTTTCTCAAGCCTCGTCTTGAACACGAGCAAATGTGTCAAACTTGTGTAAAATGCTTTGACAGCTCTAACTAGATTAGAGTTTTGTGTTCTTTAATGAGCGAAACAACCATATCTTATTCTAAAACGAATCAACATTAATCGAACTAATTTATTAATGTAATATAGGACTTATTTAAACTATTATAAAACATGCTGTTTAGAAATAAGGTCCAGTATCTGTTGATCGATGTCATTTCTACACAAACCCGTAATTATATATTAATGTTAGGTAGCGTATAGGTATATGTGTCAAAACTTGAAGAATTTACGGGATTAAGTGCTTTTATACGATATTAGTGCATTACCAACAAAGCAAGATTGATACAACATTACTTTAAACTTGCGAAATATATCTAATATTTTATTAGAGAGTAATCTGATCTGAAAAAACCTAAGTACGCGATTTTTCTAGTAAATTGTGTATTTTGGTTCTATCGGTGGTGCTAAGCGAATTGAGACAGGTTTTTAGTGTTGGACGGGCGATGGAATCGCAATTGTCGTTAGGTGTATGTAGGAAATATTCGATAATTTGGTTGAATAATATTTTCCTTCTGTGATCGTAGCTTTTTATTAATTTGTCGCAAATTTATTGTGTTTGGATAAAGTATTCTAAAAAAATAGGTGTCAAAACTTAATATTAATCATAGTTGGTGTTACTTTAGTCTAGGATTCACAATAATTCTATAGGAGTGAGTATGTAAACTATGATAATTCATAATCTAAGTGTGACTTCAAATATGTCTACACGTTGACAGTGGAGTTTTTAATTGGGACAAGCAATCCCAAAATTATTGACAAAGAAGACAGAAAATGTTTATGGGTGTTTTTTTACATTCAAAATAACTATTTTATACATTAGGTTATTATCTTTTGGGCGCATTTGTGACCTGACCATACAAATTCCATTGCCGAGTGCAGTACGTTTTCCTGAATGACTACAACATCTAAATAATATGTAAAATCTTTATGATATAACTGTCTCTCCCTTTAGGTCGAGTTTTACTTGACTGGCAAAGTCGTGAATCTGTATATAATCCTTCGCGGGAAATACGTTGTTAAGACGTCATTGCAGGTGTCGCTATATGTTTATTTTAAAAGAATTGTCGCATTTTAATCAAGACAAATATCGATATTATGTATCATATATCAAATTGAATATAACACAGCGCAACACATTCATTAATAGGTTTAATGATTATCTGATAGCCGTACAAATTTTCATTCTGATACTTTTGTAAATATATTCGATACACATCATAGAGAAGTGTTTGTCGTAATACTACGTAGTCGGTCCCAAAGTTCTGTCATAAATAGAAATAATGATAAAAACTAAAGTACTGATCAGTTTTTAATGAGTGATATATCAATTAATAGTACATAAATTAAGAAATAGAAATAGCATAAAATTATTCGAAATGACCTCCCTTATTTTTAATACAGGCCCTTAAGCGCCGCGGCCAGTCGTCTATCGCAGCACGCACCATATTCATGTCGATTTCAGTGACTGCTTTTTTTAAAGATGACTTCAGACACTCCAAATTTTTATGGGGTTTATCACAGACCTTCCTCTCTAAGACCTGCCAAATTTTATAGTCCAAAGGATTAAGGTCTGGACTGGAAGGCCAATCCTCATGTCTAATTAAGTCGATGTTTTGACGCTCAAACCAGGATTGAGTGGTCTTGGCTTTGTGTGCAGGCGCAGAGTCCTGTTGGAACACAAAGTGATGTCCCGAAAATAGCGTGCTGGGCAGGTCTTTGACAAGCTGGTCCAAAACCGTGTCTTGATACACTTTTGCACTGGTTTTGACCCCCTTTTCGCAAAAATGAACCTCAGTTGGCCCGTAATAGGACACTCCCAACCAGACCATTACTGATGATGGATGATGTCCATGTTGCACCCTCGGAACTTTATTTCCAGCTTCTTCAGAACTCCTAGCGTACACTCTATCATTCTGTTTATTGTACTTCTCTTCAATATCGAAAAATTTTTCGTCCGTAAAGAGGATATCACGGTGTCGGTTTTTCGCGTACCGCTATAACAAACCCCGCGATCTCTTAAGCCTTATTGCTTTTAGACGAGCATTAAGTAGGTAACTCTTTCTTTTGTATGCCCGTAGACTAAGATCTTCATTTAAAACCTTTTTTACTGTTTTCCTACTGACACCCATCTGCAAAGCCATCAACTTCTGTTTTCGGACAGGATTTCTTGCTATCCGCGCCTTGATAGCTTTGATCACTGCTGGTGTCCTTGCGGAGCGTGGCCGGCCAGTTCTTTTCTTGTCCTCAACACTGGAGACTTCATTGTACCTATCAATAGTACGGTACACAAACCTAAGCGTTATATTTAAATTTTTGAGCAACTTGAAAATGGTACTCGCCGAGTGCCCACAGCGGTGCAACGCAATAACAGCTATTCGGTTTTCTTTCAATGTCCACTCCATCTTGAAAATTTACGGAAAGTGATTGTTTTTTGTTTTAAAACAATAGTCAAACAATCAAAAATAGAATGCAATAATTTTTTTATAAAATCATGTTCGTAATTTAAAAATAATGTGCCAGTGACAGAACTTTGGGACCAACTACGTATATTTACAGTTATTATGTAAATACGGTGACAGGGTGGAACTGAGAAGTTGTTGGGCGTATACGATTGTATGCTTAGCCTTTATATTAAGAATGGATGCGTTGTTTAAAGCAGAAAGCAGATTCAAGTCTGGAGAAAGTTTGATTTTTGGAGAAACCAGAATTGGTCTGAGTGGTAGGTTTCACCATATAATATGAATGAAATTGACTTAGAAATGTGATTTCCCCATTGAAATTATGGGAATTTGAAGCTACCCACAAAACTAAATAGCATTAATGCTAGCTACTGTGGGTAGAATTGTCTAACAAAACTTTTAAGGATCTATTACAACCTTATTCGAATGAATCTCTGTTTTTTGTTTAAATTTTTATATTAAATATGGTTTTTACCTACAATGTAATAATTATAAAACTACTACTTGTTGTACAATGTTAATAATTTTATTTAATATATGAATGTAATAATATATATTTTATTTAATAAATGTTAGTAATGTTCGACTGCATGCAAAAAACTGTAACATAAAACAGGACGCACTTCGCTTTCATATGTTAATTTCTTTACTTGTATAACTTGAAAAAAGATAGTGTTATTAAACAATTGTGGCTTGAGATACATATCTAATCTTAAGCATTGTCAAAAGTTCATTAATAAATTAGACAGCTATTTTATTAAGGTTTATTTACATTCTAGGTGTGGGCCTAATGTTCATTGTTCCTAATTAAAAAGGGAAAAAAAAAAAAAAATAGGGGGGAGTTTAAAAAAGGGGGGGGGTATGACTTAGAAAGGAGACTTAGCGCAATGTCTGACTCTCTTACGTTAAAAATGTATAATGAAATATTGGAGTTATATTTCGCGGTAAATCTTGTGTCTGAATCTCACTCTAAGAGAAGGAGAAATCAAAACGTAATCGAGTCTTTTCACGGCCTAAATTTATAATGCATTATCTTTCAGAAAATTATCTCTAGGCAAACGTGCGTTAACCACTACGCCTAAACTGTATAGCAGTTATTGTTTCTGAAATGAGTTCAAAATCAAAGCCTATTATAAGTTTCGTGTCTTTGTATATTTAATTGCGCGAAGTTGTACACTGCATACTGTATATAGCACAATTGTTTTTACATGTTTGTACCTAAATGCATTAGTGAAATTAAAAGACTTTGATGTGGCTACGTGATTTTATTTCGAAATTATTAATTTTCTTCCTAATTTTACATAATATTAAAGTCCCACATGACTATGTGGGCTCAAAACGTGAACGGTAACACCGTGTTTTGGTTCTAAAGTCCAGTCTTAGCGCTAATTATGACTTCCGAGTGTCAAAACCGTATAGAAATCTCACTGTCAACTCATATTGGCGTAGAGTCGAAGCAGCCAGAAGAAGAAAAACAGAGTATAATTGTTTACTGTGGAGCGAGCACTATACATGAATGTACAAAAGTGAACTGGTTGCAGCTTTCAAGGCGCGCGGCCGTGCGTTATAGCTGAAAAACATGACGCGTCGCTTTGCTTCGACTCTGTTCCAATAAGAGATGAGCCCACGTTTTATAGGGCCGATGAAATCAGTCGACATATTATATAGGGTCCTTACATCTCACGTCTACAAATTAGCTCTTTTATGAATACAATGCTAAATTAGGAGGTCAGTATAAAATATTAAGTACAAAACTAAACTGGTAAGTTTTAAAATAACTAGATTAAGACGCAATACTTACAATAATTATTGACACCTGTATTCAGAGTCATCCGTTAAATAATCTCTAATTGTAGATTGATGTTACCTCAATTTTTAGTTTATTTATTGGTTATTATACAAAAATAAATTAATAAGTAGTTTTTATCATCATCGTCCTTGGAAAATATAGTTACAGTTTTGCGAAACTTACAAAATATGTAATCGTCATTAACTACAAATCTTATCATAAGTAGGTTCTTATTTTGTACTTTCACGTTATATAACTTCTGTTTTAAATAACCCTTATAAGATATTAGGTCAGGCTCTAATAATGGGTGAATTTGTATATTAAACTGTCAATTTTATTATCCGTAGCGCCCGCGCACACGTGCTATACCTATACGTGGTATTCAAAAATAAATTTAGCATCCTGTTAAAATGTACGTAGAGAGTCTGCTGTACTACACTTGTGTATACTTGGTGGTAAGAAAGAAATTTGTGATTTTCTCTATTCCTCATATTTCTTACGCATTCACTTCCCATAATTTCAAGTCATTTTCAACTATTTCAACGAATCTATCGCCTATAGATGTATCTTTAAATAGTGGTTTGAGTGTTTTTAAGTTAAGACTAAGTAATGCCCCGTTATCCATCATTTCGTTGAGCTTAAAGGCTAAATTTCGGTTGTAATGAAGCCTCAGAAGACTCGGTCTGGAGAATAAATATTGGCTGTCCCTCAAGTTCTTTCGGGCCCATTTTTCTATTGTCTTGTTGCCACTTGCAATCTGTAAGATAAAAACTAAATAAAGAAACTATTTTTTTGAAATAGCTAGCTCGAAACGCTAACAAAACCTACAGCGAATGATAACATCGCGCGAACCGATTTTTAAAAAATGGATTATCTCTTGACTAATGTAACGTAATTTACACCTACCTACTTAATATTAAACATAATAAGGTCTCCAACTTTTTTACCGGGCTAACTATTATAATAACTTAAAAAAAATATCCTCACTAACCTTAATAATAATAATCATTTATTTTCTTTACATTACAAAGATCCATTCTGGTCAAAACAAATATTTAACGCCAAAACGTCTAGCGTAAATCCTATCTGATCGTTAAAATATGACCTAAACTAAAAACAATATTTATTTAGCTACATGGTTTATGTATACCCAAATTTATTTTATTAAAACAACTACAAAATTAATAACACTTGAGAAACTCTTACCCTAATATCCCCAACTTGTCTGAGAAAAATTGATGAGAAGTAGAACCTCAGATCCGAATTGGACCTTCTCCGTTCTCGTAATCTTATGAAATTCTTAAGTGTGTTGTAACCACTTCGTTTATACTTAAAAACCTAAAAATTAACAAAGTATTACCAAAACTATATCCAGGACGTTGAAAGCTTATTTATACCTACTATGAATTTGATATTAAAATAGCTTCGTTCTGACTCCTCGGATTGCTGGACTTAAAATACGTATAAGCGAAATAATAGCAGAAAGTAATCACAAAAGAAATATATGAGAAACATCCATAGAACTACTCTGCTCATAATTTTTATTAGCAAGGATTCATTTCTTTACAGCAATCCAGCAGCGGCGGTTTTCTGTTACGTCCAAAAATGATCACGACATTATTGTACTTAGTTTTGATGAAGTTATTTTGAAGTTGGGCTCGCTATAGCCATTGGGACTTGTTGTCGACGCAATACCAGAGTATTTTACAAACCTCCTGAAACGGTACAAGAAAGACTCACTTGATAAATAAAATTTCCAGTTATATATGAGTCGATGTAATGCGTGCCATAACTCTTCATAAACCGTCTCAAATCCGTTGCATCAGACGCGTTAAGCTGCTCAATCGCCCGAAATACATAATCCTTCACTTTAATTGTCCGCTCTGTGTTTATTCGTACGGAATTTTTAGTTTTAGATAATGTGACGAGAACGTAGCAACAGTCGTCTGGCCGTGGATCGTACTCCATGCCGAACGCTCGCATAATTTCATCTGGAATCCAATCGCCTAAAAATGCTTTCCACGGAACGTCTGTACTGAAAATATTATGTATTATTATTAATATGAAGGATGTATTTAATTACAATAACGTGCATATCGCCTTTGCATTCTATATCTTTTCCTGATGTATTCATGAACGGAGACACGCTGTGAGTTTTTTGTTGAAGAAGAGGGCAAACAAGCCTCTGGATTGATGAACAACGATCATGATAAGTCACTACTACCCATGGACACCCACGATATCCAAAATCAATCATCTAGCCTTTAGGTGATTTGAATCACCTGATTTACGTCAATACTCTGATTTTTAATTCCGTAGAATTCTGACAGCTATCATCTTTTGACATGTCAGTGATTACAAACCTTTTTGGCAGGGCACATTTTTCAATTTCAATACGAGTCTGAACATCTGAGTATATACATACATTTTATTGTTAGTCTGTTAATGTATCCATTTGATTAAATGTGGTTTAACGGCGAGTGGTAATTACGTTCCTTTTCATCACAAACAGTAAAGATAATATTTTTTTTAAAAGGTTTACTAAACCTGGAATAAGAAGGCAGTAATGCCACCTAAAGAATAAAATAAAGTAATTAAAGTTAATTCGATATATTGTTCGTGATATTCGAATATTTGTTATTTTTATATTAGGTCACTGAGTAAGTAAATATTTAGATTTAAGTACCTTTTTGTAGGTAAAACATAAAAAATACGTAGCATTTTTTGATTGTCCTCAAATAAATCAAATTTGTCCCTTTTTCGGTGGAGAACTTTTTTAGTAGCAACGCTTATGAAATGTCAGAATTCTACGGAACTAAAAATCAGAGTATAAATAAAAAGATTCGCACAGAGAAGGCTTCGAGATACCTGTTGTATGTGTCGTTCCTATCGTAATATATATATAATATTTAACATATACTTATGTTATATATATACTCGTATATGTATGAAAAACTTAACACCTTCAACTGACAAATAAGTTACCTAAACCTGCTTTTCGGGACGGTACTTATTCGATATAACAGCAACTAGTTAAAAATAAATCATACCCTTCTATTTGGAAGTGTTTGAAGTAGACTTGAAGAAGATCGTCGAATGTTTCACAGAGATGGAGGTTCATGTTTACCATTGTATCGCCAGGTGTGATGATACTACTGACGTTTTCAAACACCCGTATATTCTTCTCCCTAAAGGGCTCTATAGGATCATAATCCTCATCTTCGTAGTCTGCTGAAACTACTTGCGTGACTTGGGAGAGGTCGCCATAACTAGAAAGCGATAAATAAATTGTAAGTTGAACCCGTGTGGCATTTGTCTTTTCTGTTAAGAATTTGACAGAAATATAGATTTTTCTAGATTCGAAAGGAGACAATATGCTTTTTTATTTTAAAGATTCATGTCAGTATCGGATTGTTCTTGTCATAAAAATATTATTCTATCAGTATTGCGTAAACTTATCTATTAAAGAGACTTCTAAGAAAATGGGTCTGGTCTGAACTAAAAATTTGTTTGTAGGCGTTCAACAAAAATTTTTACCTCGTAGTTAGGTTACAACAAAGTAACCTAAGTAGGTTAATTTTTTTTATAAATATTTAAATGACCTTAACTATGGTCTGATTGAATTAAAACAATTGTTTTATCAATATAAATCTTCCGAAGCATATTTGCGCTAGTTATGGTTGACGTATTTTGAGGTCAAATGTTACATACATTAAAATTAAATAAATAAAAATAACTTTTTTTGATCATAGAATAATATCCAGATATAATATTGATACATGAATTAAGCGCTGTAATCTCTTGGATAGGATGCAAATTAGTGCATACAAAGATGCATAAATTGTATGTAGTATTTACGTTCAATTGAAGGTCGTGGTCACTCAATACCATCTATGTACAACTTGGACTCCTTGCATAACTTAACTCCTTTACAACAAATATGTACTTACCCTGGGCAACCCATGTTTAGTCAAACTCCAAATAAACATATTTAAATCTTTATAAAGTCCTGTGGATCATAACAGACACTTTTATGCGTTTCTTCCTTTAATTATTTTAGTAGGTCAATCCGGCACCCGTGGCGAACTATATCCCGAAACTTTTACTGTTCGAAATCAAACCAAGAATCTCCGTGTTAGCCCCACAGGCGTTAAATATCTTTATTATCAATTTAAAGAGCCTCGCAATGAAGTCCCACATATAGCAGTTTGTCAGCGATTTTCATTTTTTAAGGTAAAGAACGCTGAACGTATGATACTCACTTTGCAAACACATCAATGGCGTTTCCAATACTAAGACTATATCCTAAGTCCTCCTCGCTGCCACATAAAGCACAACACATAAGCACTAACAACCATAACATTATCAACAACCTACAATAAACTAACAAGCTAACAATCACGCGAGGCGGCGTTGACTGAGATTTTTTAACAATTTGCTAATGTGTAAACATTGTGTGAACTTGACCCGAGAGATTAGGCCCGTATCATTGCACTGAGCGTTTGGTACGGATTTACTTGGTAATTTAACTTTTGTTAAGTTTCCTGTAACTAAATAAACTAAAGGTGAAATTGGCGAGGAACAGGAAATGGTGAAAGAGTACTAAACTGGTGCCCAAGGTACAGCAAACGAAATAGAGGAAGACAACTTAGAAGGTGGATAGATCAAAGAAAAAGAAATAGCGGGTAATTACATGGCAGACAGTGGTTTGCCAAAAAAGGGCACACAGATACCTAAAAGAAGATTGAAATAGAAACGTCACGTAAAATCAAATGTAAAAGTTTCTGAATTAAAGGCTATTATTATTATAAGTATCCTGTATTGTCTGGAAGATATGACACTGAAAGTCATATAGTAGTTATGTCGATCTCTAAAATATTCATATACACAATTCAACCCAGCCATGCTAGCCTGGTCGAAGATCCTTCCTCTAGGTCCAGATTCCTTCCTCCACAATTTGTTTTTGTTGCAATAAATACACGTCCATGAATAATTGTTCAATCAGTATATAGACAATGTAGTATTGGAAATTTTACACTAAATGTTACACATAAAAAAATATATTTTCATTCGAATATAGTAACTCATTTTATATATATAATACATGAGGCGAAGACACCGAGTTATATTTTTCCATATAATGATAATTTGCGTGCAGATCAGTTGCATAAAGCAGAAATAAAGTAGTTGTTTCCTGTAGTTAAGGACATATCCATTTGATTATGACTTATTCATGATAAATGCCAAGGTCCACATGATATACCAAATTAAGTAAAAACACGAATTTATGGAAATCAGATGTTGGACTAAATTTTCCCAGCAACGATGTTACGAAATTTGTCTAACGCGTTATTCCTCCCCCTGTAACCTATAATTTAAATCCAAATATTAAAAATAGTTTGTTTTCTTTATGTAAAAGTTTAGTGTCCGAAAAACAAGTGAAAATCAGAATCGCCGAAATTCCACAGACTAAAGTAATTTTAATCTATGAATGTAAAAATAAAATTTGCGACATTATTATGATGAAAATTACAACGCTATAGACAAACTTACATACTCAATTATTAATATTATAAAATAATACAATACTTATTAATTATCACACACGCAATGTACACTTGTTGAAATACTTAACACGGTAAATGTGTGATTCGAATAAGAATTATAGTATATCGACCTAATAAAATGTTCTATTTAATAAAAAGCAACGAATTTCAAGGCTCCACGTTTATGCTTGGTATTGCGATAACCTTTTGATCTTCACGAACTTATCTAAATCGGGTATTTTTATTAGATATAAGCAACCTATAAAATAGATTCGTATATACATCGTAATATTATATCTAGAGTTTAGGCTAATATAATTTTGTTGTTGATACAGTTTGTTTCCCTATCGGTTCCTATTCCCTATGGTTCGATCCCCGGCTGGGCACCAATGGACTTTCTATGTGCGCATTTAACTTGACCGTTGCTTACGGTGAAAGAAAACATCATGAGGAAGGCTTGCCTTAGACCCAAAAAGTCGACGGCGTGTGTCAGGTACAGGTGGCTGATCACCTACTTGTCTATTGCCAAATGATCATGAAACAGATTTAGACATCTGAGGCCTAGACCTAAAAAGGTTGTGATATTGATTTATTATGTCTTATTGCGAGAATAGTGTTAGATATGAGGTTACGGATGGGTTTCTCAACTTTCAGGTCATGTCTTGTCCAATTCGGCTGTGCAACAGTTTTTTCTATGAGCAGTATCAACATTTATTCGCGCAGAAGAATACGAGAAGATCGTAAAGAACTGAAATGTCAGAAACGCTGATGTATCTACTAGCCTGCTTGGACACTTATGCAGAAATGTGGAGCCAACGTCATAATATCGGGTTATAACGGATGTATATTAAAAAAACAAAAGAATTTTAACTAGTAATTTTGTTCCAATGGTTCATGTTAATTTGTATAAAGAAATCATAAAATGATAAAACACGTTTCGGAGTACTTAATGTCGCTATGAAGAAAGTAACAATAGCCAAGTGTAAGTGCGACAAATATGAAAGGAATAGGTATCAGTTATTTTCAGCGAATGTATACATTAGCTCTAACATAATCTCTGTGCGTGTTCGTTTAATATAAATTATTCAGTAACCTTAATCTTACGCAATACACAAGTTTTTTTAGAATTATATGGTAATTATAACTAATGTATCTTGAAAATTATCTATCCAAGAAGCGAAATCTTATATAGGTTAGAACTAGTTTTAAGGAACTATTTCTCTCTTTTCATAATAGTACATCAAAACCTGAATATAGCGGGATATGAATCAAGTTAATGTTTAAAAGAATCACGTATATTACGATTTTCTATAATCTATAGATACTCGTATATAACCACTCGTTTCGTCTCGGTTGGTCGAAGTTTGGCGCCACGTAATGGCCTGTCGTTGCTTCAATTAGATTAGGTACATTTGATTTTCGATGCTTCCTGGCACCCAAGTTTTTCCCACATTTGCCGAAATATTTGCGGAATGCGGTTACTGTAAAAGTTGAATGACACGGTATCAGCGTTAGTTTACTTTATGATAATACACTTGTCTATGATTCAATGGCCTCATTTCGAATAAATCACTTGCGGATGTATAAGTGCCACATTCTGTGGTAAAATCTCTAATGGTATTAGAGAACATATGTTCAACTAGTACGGGAGGTAGCAACGTTTGAAAAGAAAGAATTTTAGGTCAGCTGATTTTGTGATATGTCTTCCTTCTTGCACTTTCGGTTAGAGTCTGGGCAATCTGGCTGGCGGTAGTGGTTGCGTTCTTTAGTGCGCATCCTATCTGTCCAGGTCATATCCTGGATTTTAAAAGCATTTTAAGAAGCGTAATTTTTAATTTTATGTTTTTAAATAAGTCTATCTGACATACTTTTTTTATTGCCAGACATTTTTCACACTGCTAACTATGTGCCAGACGCGATTTTATGTTTTTTTTTTAAAAAAATTTCAAAGTATTTTAGAATGTCTGTAATTTTAATACTATGTTATTTAAATATAAGAAAAACTAAAAATGAATTTGCCAGACATTAATTCGATTGTTAAGTCTTGAATTAAACTGAAAAAGTACCTATTGCAGTATGATGAAGCATTGCATTTTAAGAAGCGTATTTTTAGATTTTTCCTTTTTAAATAAGTCTACCTGACATACTTTTTTTATTGCCAGACATTTTTCACATTGCTAACTATGTGCCAGACGCGATTTTAAGTTTTTTTTTTTATAAAAATTTCAAAGTATTTTAGAATGTCTGTAATTTTAATATTATGTTATTTAAATATAAGAAAAACTAAAAATGAATTTGCCAGACATTAATTCGATTGTTAAGTCTTGAATTAAACTGAAAAAGTATTGCAGTATGATGAAGCATTGCATTTTAAGAAGCGTATTTTTTGATTTTTCCTTTTTAAATAAGTCTACCTGACATACTTTTTTTATTGCCAGACATTTTTCACATTGCTAACTATGTGCCAGACGCGATTTTAAGTTTTTTTTTTATAAAAATTTCAAAGTATTTTAGAATGTCTGTAATTTTAATATTATGTTATTTAAATATAATAAAAACTAAAAATTAATTTGCCAGACATTAATTCGATTGTTAAGTCTTGAATAAAAACGAAAAAGTATTGCAGTATGATGAAGCATTGCATTTTAAGAAGCGTAATTTTTAATTTTTCCTTTTTAAATAAGTCTACCTGACATACTTTTTTTATTGCCAGACATTTTTCACGTTGCTAACTATGTGCCAGACGCGATTTTAAGTTTTATTTTTATAAAAATTTCAAAGCATTTTAGAATGTCTGTAATTTTAATACTATGTTATTTAAATATAAGAAAAACTAAAAATGAATTTGCCAGACAGTAATTCGATTGTTAAGTCTTGAATTAAACTGAAAAAGTACCTATTGCAGTATGATGAAGCATTGCATTTTAAGAAGCGTATTTTCAGATTTTTCCTTTTTTAAATAAGTCTACCTGACATACTTTTTTTATTGCCAGACATTTTTCACATTGCTAACTATGTGCCAGACGCGATTTTAAGTTTTTTTTTTTATAAAAATTTCAAAGTATTTTAGAATGTCTGTAATTTTAATATTATGTTATTTAAATATAAGAAAAACTAAAAATGAATTTGCCAGACATTAATTCGATTGTTAAGTCTTGAATTAAACTGAAAAAGTATTGCAGTATGATGAAGCATTGCATTTTAAGAAGCGTATTTTTTGATTTTTCCTTTTTTAAATAAGTCTACCTGACATACTTTTTTTTATTGCCAGACATTTTTCACATTGCTAACTATGTGCCAGACGCGATTTTAAGTTTTTTTTTTATAAAAATTTCAAAGTATTTTAGAATGTCTGTAATTTTAATATTATGTTATTTAAATATAATAAAAACTAAAAATTAATTTGCCAGACATTAATTCGATTGTTAAGTCTTGAATAAAAACGAAGTTTAGTTGATGAAGTTAAAAGGGATATTTTTTTTAAAAAATTTTTTTTTTTAAAATTTTTTTTTTTTTTTTTTGGGGGGTTTTTTTTTTTTTTTTTTAAAAAAAAAAAATTTTAAAATTTTTTTTTTTTTTTTTTTTTTATAAAAAAAAAAAAAAAAAAAAAAAAAAAAAAAAAAAAGTATTGCAGTATGATGAAGCATTGCATTTAAGAAGCGTTATTTTTAATTTGTTTGTTTTGTTCAGAATCAGAACAGCGTATTACAACTTCTGCGTCAAAATGGATTTGGAAAATATGAAAAATAATCCTAGAATCAGCTTCTTCGTGTTCTTCACACGATAATGATTCTTCAATAGTTTTAATTACTTAGTTATTTATCACTTTGTATGAATAACATTTATTAAAACTTACGTAAATGTTTTTTTAATACAGTTGCTCAAAAAGTGGCGTATTGCAGGGATGTATAGCGTTCGGGATGTGGGCTATTACACACTCGTGCTTTTTTTTTACCTTTTCCGAACTAGTGCGTTTTCTTTCCCAACTGTCAAAATAATGTCTATTAAAAAGAAAAAACCAACCACGAAGTTTTTACTAAAAAAAGTTCATAGAAATTTTTATGATTCATGCAAATATTTCTAAAAAGAAGCTACTGCTTTGTTTCAATGAGTTAGGTTAGATTTCATTTCATCTCATTAAATTTCATTTCATATCAATAAAAAATTGTACTGAAGACTTGGCTGTATGGGCATAGTTCCCTTTGCCTACCCAGAATGAGTGAAGAAAAAAAAATATCTGCTTATATTCTTTTACGGTTGGCGCCATTTTCCAAAAATGTTCTTTGCGCGTTTAGTTGTTTGTTATATTATATATTAAATATACATGAAAAATCATACGAAATAAATAATAGTTTGTCTCAAACAGTAAATAAATATGCAACCTAAAACTTCTCCAGTTAGTATAAAAAACTGTACTAATGTATACATTACACATATATGTGAACAATAATTTGTATAAGAAATAAATGATTAGTGAGTTGAGTTTATTGTTTTTTTATTATTTTATTAAATTGCATAATTTTTTCGCAACTGTATTAAAAATAGTTGTTCAGTACACGTGCGGAACCGTCATTGCAACTTGTTCCGACTGTCAACCTCAACATCAATTTGTCGAAACTCTTTGCAATGACAGGCTTTCCGCACTTGTAATGAAATATACTATTATTACCAATGAAAGGCATCATACTGAATTACTTTATCATTTTAATTCAAGACTTAACAATCGAATAATTGTCTGGCAAATTCATTTTTAGTTTTTCTTATATTTAAATAACATAATATTAAAATTACAGACATTCTAAAATACTTTGAAATTTTTATAAAAAAAAAACTTAAAATCGCGTCTGGCACATAGTTAGCAATGTGAAAAATGTCTGGCAATAAAAAAAAGTATGTCAGGTAGACTTATTTAAAAAGGAAAAATCAAAAATTACGCTTCTTAAAATGCTTTTAAAATCCAGGATATGACCTGGACAGATAGGATGCGCACTAAAGAACGCAACCACTACCGCCAGCCAGATTGCCCAGACTCTAACCGAAAGTGCGAGAAGGAAGACATATCACAAAATCAGTTGACCTGAAATTCTTTCTCGAAAACGTTGCTACCTCCCGTACTAAACGTATTTATGATTAGCTTTTCAGCAGACCTCTCTCACCAGGTGGGGCTTGGCCGCGATTTACGAGTTGTCCGCCACTACTGACCAAGACACCAGGGTAAACTCGAGATTACTCTTTAGCCCCCACCACCGAACATGACACCAAGGTAAACTCGTGATTAGGTACTCTTTGGCCGCCACCACCGAACATGATACCAGGGTAAACTCGAGATTACTCTTTAGATGCCTTGTCCTAGGGTCCTTCAGAGTCCAGACGTGGTATGCCTAAATCTACAACGCTTTTCACATACTTAGCTATTTAAGCTATTAATCTAAAAGCCCATATTCTAAATATTGTGCCTTACGTTATTTGAAAACCGATATAAGAGTACTACCAAACATTCATAGAAGTATTGTACATTATTTGAGTTATATTGTGAATTGAAATGCGGTTTTAGCGACCTCTACAGCTACAATGACTGCCATGACAACATACCGTGAACGGTGAAACTCGCTAAGAAAGTCATTTCGTCCGCTAATTAAATATATTTTATATTAGTCACTGGCCAGTCAGCGGTAAGACTGGTGTAGGACTCTCTCTTTAGGTCGGAGGAATAACCTTCCTTCCACATGATTAATGTTGGTTTGGTTTGAAGTACATTGATTTATGTTTCTCTAACCAGTACAGGGACATGCTAGCACACTGCCAAAGAGCCATGGAAAGAAGCATGCTGAGAATAAGAAAATTAGACAAGCAAAGAAACACAGACATAAGAGCTAGAACAGGTGTGACAGACATTCTAAGATAGACCAAATGAAATGGATGGACGGGTCGTATACGAAACCCCCATGAAAAATGGAGCAAAATATTGACGGAATTGTACCCTAGAGACGGAAAACGAAGAAGAGGCCGACAACGCAAAAGATGGGAGGACGAAGTTAAATTATCAGCAGGCTACAACTGGAGAAGGGTCGCATAGGATAGAGAACAGTGGAAAGGGTTAGAGCTGGCCTTTACTAAGAGGCACACCGAACTCCAAGATATACTGTACTGAAAATATATTAAAGATCACAGATCACAGAATTTCGGAATATAAAGGCTATATTATTATTATGATTTATATGTTGTATAGTATTTAGTTTATATTGAAATTGCTTGACGTTTTTAGTTTATATAAAAGATACTTTGTACTAAGTTGATAAATCGAGCTTATTTATTTGTTGCGAGACAAAATGGTAGAATAAAATAAAATCAAATTCATAAAATATGTTTATTCTTACTTACTAACATATTTACACATTTTAATACAATAAGAACACTGTTGGGTTGTAAATGCAGCATCGTGTTTGATCATGTTAAAATAAATTAAAAAATAAATAAGTAGACATCTGAATTATACAATTAAATATACATATTTATCGATATTTTTTTGTAATAATAAATGTGGTTCCTGCCACGTCAGCTATGGATAATCAAATAAAACTTTCACCAACCACAAAAATGTTATAGTCACCGATTCCTATATTTACCTCTTTATAAAAACAATTGGTCTAATTGCTCTTCCAACTAAAGTCTGTCTTTTTACATTACATCGTAAATACTTTGTCAGAAGAAGACGATGAGCTAAAAAGAGAATTTCGAAGAGAGATTCGACTAATTTAGTTCGTTCGTAGTTTCGACATATAGAGAAACTCTAGAGACATCATTCGTTGCCCTAAATTTTGACTCTTAAAATTGTTTAAAACAAGTATTATATTACGACCATATTCTGACTTTAAAGTTCGCACTTAAGCAAATGACGTTAAAATCTAGTAGTAAGGAACGTGACCGCTTTTAGATTATACCTTCATAAACATTGTAAAGAGGAATCACAATATATTTATCAACAAACCTTATAAAATGCAATCAGAGGGCGATGAAGTACATAATTTTAAATACAAATTGGCCTTTATATAAAAATACAAATGCAATAATTTTTTTGTATAAAGTTCCAAAAATATACAGTACTTTATAATGGACGAATATTAAAACTATAATTGTTTGTACTTACACTGGTGGAAAATTAATCGTTATAAAAATAAATATTGATCAATCACAGAAAAATATAGCATTCTTTCATAAATCAAATATAAACTAAAATACTCTTGTCAGCACTATTTAAAGGGTAAAATTTTAAGAAACTCCAAGCTTCTAGTATTCATTTGACCAAAATATAACATATAGTTTATCTAATATGTAAGAATTTAAAGTTTATCTCGAATCGAAAGTTTTTGGTCCATCGAGCCGGAAAATCCGAGGTTCTGAATGGTTGGAGTGCATCTCAAAATCTGCCCTTTAAAATATCTATCACATATTACTCTCCCACAATTTTAAATAATTGTCTATCACTTCTTCAAACCACTTTCTTTTTTGCGCGTCTTTAAAAGCAGGCGCTAATGTCTTTAATTCTAATTGTAATAAGGCTTCATTTCCTAATAATGTATCTAAATTTCTTAAAAGCGCCGGCTCTCCGTGCAACTTTAAAAGACTTGGGTACGAAAATATATAATAGTGTACCCTGAGGCGTTTCATCGCCCAACTTTCCACTGTTTTATTTCCACTCGCCACCTGAAATATTAATTAAATATTATTTTATATATATAAAGATACTATTAACAAAAAATAGCGTATAGGTTAAGGAAGATTTTCAAATATATTTCGATCCTGGCATGTAAGTTGGCCAGATGTCTTTGGGTTTATACTAAGCGATTATCTATTTGATAAAAGGGCCTGTGACTAGTGCTAGCTACTTCTAATTAATTTGCGATATTTGTTTTAAAATAAGTGTTGTTACATGATTTGCTATTTTAAAAGAGTACCGGCTTTTTCTCTCGGCCTACATCCTCCGTCTTCTTTGCCTACAGATTCAAATTTAATGACGTGGAATAAGTGATACATGTATCTTATGTTCCATAATAAACATATTTTTTTTTAAGCAAATTCGCCGAAAATGAAGCGTGCGACACTGTCTTCGTGATTTTGGATCCCAGCTGTAATACTTGATAGTATTATATTACATATATAACAAAACTTGATGGTGAAGGACTAATAGAAAATCAGCAGGTCTCAGAAGTGCCTTATCTGCCTGCCCGCACTTGACCAGTGTAGTATAATAATACCGTATAGATTTCCACATGAAGTTAACTTTCTACAACTCATCTTGCCAACTTACGAAATATTATGATTCAATAACTTTATAGTAAATTTTGGTGTTTTACGATTAGGTTAGGTAGTATGAGTGTAGTAGTGATGATGAATGGTTAATGTGGTGAATGTGGTGTAATGACGTCACAAAATACCTTGATCTGGCCAATATGCTTGGCCTGCCATGGCGAGAAATATCCTTCCAACTCTTTAGCAGTTATATCGGCCACGCCCTTGCTTTTAAGTCTCTCTTTGATCATAGAGTATGCGGTTCTAGAGAACACAAATACCTGGAGTGAGAGCATAGACAAGATTCACGCTTTTGAAACTATTTTGACATTTGGGCGTGAACTCGAGGATTTTTCGCGTTATAAGCTTCTTTTCTTTATTCTACCGTCTATGGTCTATTAGTAGTTTACAAGTAGAGTAATACTGGCCATGTAAAATTGATTTTTCGTAAATAATTCTTGATATTGGAAAGAAGGATGAAAAATGATGACGATATGAAACGATGAAGGAATGATAAAGAAAAGAAGTTTATGATGACCAATGAGAGAGTGAAGTGATCATGATACAATTTCTTTTTGATTGTTGAATCTGTGTTTTTAGCATACTATTCTAGATTCTTTCTTAGTTTGGCACTATGAATACGACGATGTGACTATTAAATTCTCTAGTTCATTGTAATAACATTATCTGCCTTACGGTAAGGCAATACTCGAAAAAAAAAACATATTTCTATGAAGCAAATTTCAAAATAAAGATTTATGACTAAAAGCACAGATCCATAATGATCAAACCTTCACAGCTCCAACGTGTTCCGCGAATAACGGGGAGAAGAAATTGTTCATTTCAGCTGCGGGTATGTCTGACACGCCCCGCGACTTAACACGCTCTTTGATCCGGGAGTACACGCCACGAGAGAACACAAACACCTGGGAAGTGCTTCTGGTAAATACATCATCTTAAATCTTACCATAAGCGCCATCTAAGACTTCTGTGTGTGTTAAATATTTTTTTGATATACTTAGCGCTGTATGTCAACATATAATACCCTTACTGTACTCTAGAATCATCAAATATCTCCTAGATAGATTAATAAATTCAGCAGAATTTCATGACATTTTCCTGATACATTATTTTTTTATTTATATGAATATTTTTGAAAGGTATTGTATTTTGCAAGAAACCTAGGGACCCCGCAATTATTGTACAGGGATTCTGGTGTACGTTTATTACGACTACTTTAGTTAAGTGATTCCAAAAATAATTTCCATTTCTTAACCCTACGAAAAAAAAGCCAACATCACGAGGTGTTCCCAGGCGGTCACCCATCCAAGTACTGACCTCGCCCGACGTTGCTTAACTTCAGAGATCGGACGAGAACCGGTGTATTACAATAGCAAATAGCAAAAAAGTGTCTTTACAACTTTTGGTCTTAATTTTTTCCGTCTAGCCCCCTTTCGCAACGCGCGATAAGGAACTTCGTTCCAAAACCTACCAACCTTATTTATTTATTACGTGGTTTAATCTTCAATCTATAAAAGTTTTTGGTTATAAGACACCTAATTGCGAATCAGTGAAATAGAAGTTATCCTACGATTCGCGAAAATTTGATAATACAAGGAGTTTGTTTAAGTCGAAGACAAAACTTAGTAACCACTTTGTCGGATTAAGACACTTTGTTCGACAATCTATCTATGAAGGATGGTTACAGGCTATATAGAATCAACGCAAACAATCTTCGTCCTTTAAACCGAAACTATTTCAATTCAAACATGACTCTCCTATTTAAGTTACGACTAAAAATAAACTTTTTTACAATTTGTTAAAATAATTATTAACGATTGGGTGGCAACTACGGATATTGTGATCATAGACAAATATTCAATAGATTTGACAGATATCCACTGTTATTGACATACACACGATTTCTATAAGGTTACACGTACACTCAATTTCAATTTTGTTTCTATACACAGAACACATAGGCCAGTCATTATAGACATTCGAAATCGAAAATTTGATAATAATTCCAAAAGTTTTCAAACTTCGGTCAAGTGAATGGTACATTGGGACGACAATAAATCTCATTTTGCAACCTTGTCCGCAGTCCGGAACATTGTTAAAATTGCAATTAAATTAATTTTTGCTGTATGGTCGTGAAAAAAATTCCAAAAGTTCTGCAAACTTGGGGAAGTTTTCGATATAATATTTCATATCACGTATAAAATTTGCAACCAACCTAAGTGTACGGAACATTTTTTGTTATTTATTTTATTTTCGATATATCTGTCAAATTTGCAGAACTTTTGGAACGTTTTCCTTCAGTTTAATAAAGAAAAACATTAATTTTTAATAACAAAAAATGTTCCGTCACAGGTTGGTTGCAAATTTTATACGTGATACGAAATATTATACGAAAACTTCCCAAATTTTGCAGAACTTTTGAATTTTTTCCGGACCAAAACTTATTTTAGCAGTTCCGGCCCGAGCAGGTTGCAAAATTTTATAGTTTGTTTTAATACCACTCCCGACCTTACATCAAAATTTGAAAACTTTTGGAATTATTATGAATTAATTGTCTTGACTGACTGGTCTAACATTCCCACACACACCTCAACTAATAAATTATTAGTAAACTAGTGGAGCCCACAGACGTTGTCCTGCATGATATTTAAAGCGATTAGGATATTAAGCAAAGTATGAAAGTACCGACTGCAGTGCCATCTGCCGGGCTGATTTGTGAATCTAAACCATTCCCAGATCCCCTTGAACACACACAAAAAATTTCATCAAAATCGGTCCAGTCGTTTGAGAGGAGTTCAGTCACATACACACGCACAGAAGAAATATATATATTAAGATTGTCTTGGTTAGTACATAATGTTTTAGTAGTAATTATTCGCATGTGTAATCCGTTTTAGCAAATTTTTTAACTAAAAAAAAAACTTTGTCAATAAGCCGTTAAATTAAATAAATAAAAAATAATAAAGATTTGTATTGTAATTTATATTGGTACAAATACAACTTCAAAAAAGTAAATTAAAAAAATTACTATTTTATATTATGACCGCAATTAACGAATCAAATCACAAATTCTATTTATAAATGGTGAGTCAGGAATATGGGTAAAGAATATTATCGGTATGTTTTCAAAATCTTTCCAAAACATAATCACGTTTCACTCCATGTAAAATATCACGTGAGTTAACGCGTTGCAAGATGATGCAAAAAATCTTTGATGAACGATTTTGTTTAACTGTTACGCGATTACAACATACAACTAAAAACATTATTAAAACTTCAATCCGTGTTGAAAAGCATGGACTGTTTTATACTATTTACTTTATAATTCTAATAATTTCGTGTCTATTTTTTGGAATCCAGAAGTCTTTTCTACTGTTTTTAAGAACAAATTTTTCTTTTTTGTCGTTTAACTTTACTAATTCGTTAACGTAGAATACCGTATAACTTAGCAATACTATTCTACTATTTTGTAAATTGTAATATTTTGTAAAAAATCTATTAAGTATTTTTGGAAATAACATTCTTAATGGGGTAAACTATTTTCAAGCCGTAGTAAAATAAATAATATCGTAGTTTCTATCGTTCCTAAGCATCTAAAACGTAATACCATATTCATAACCTATGGTGAAATGGATAACATATATCTCTAAACCCAATTAGTATCATAGTTATTTTTTCTCAAATAAACAGTTAAATTACCTGGTATAATGAATTTCCAGTTATGTAAGATGCTATATAATGTGATCCGTATTTTCTGATGAAATCTGCTATAGACACCGTGTCGCCAATAGTGGTGTCTTGTATGGCATCGAATACCACATCCTCCACCGGTACATTTGGTGGTAAATCGCTTAGTTTTGCCGTTTCACGAAACCTGAAATTATTTTTGAAGTTATACTTCTTTAGGCGCGTTATGAAAAATTGATGAGAGTGAAATTTTACGATGCGCGCGCACCGTGACACAAAATTAACAGAATGAAGTTGCCCACGGAAATTGCTACGGCATTGGACATAATTTAAAAACAACATTCGAATTTTAAGAACGACTACAATGTTATGTTATCTAAGTATTATTCTCATGTAAGTGACATTTTTGTCTTTTTTGAGAAATAAGTCTTTAAACCTAAACCTAATAATAATAGAATTTATGTTACACTTAATGTAAGAGAATAATAATATTTATTTATTTAATTTTTCAAATGTAAACTGAAATTTATTGACTATAATGACTCCTTTTCCAGTCTTTGATTATTTAATTGTTATTAATTATTTGCATGCAATCAAAAACTATTTTTAATATTGCCAAAGAAGTATAACTTCTTACGCGCGTACATAAGTACCCGCACCCGTTTTTTTTTATTTATTTAACACTGAGTTGCAATACTATAGTATGAACATGAAATTTAAAGAATTATGGCAACGGGCGGACTTATCACAGTCGATTATTTAAAGGCAACCGTATGGAGAAAACTAAATCAAATTTTACAGCGTTATTTATTAATGTACCTACTCATTTTATTTCAGCAAGAACACAATTTTCCAGGCATTACAAGTGTCCAAGAGCGGCGGTAAGCACTTCTTTCTGAGTAATCCGTCTGCTAGTTAGCACTTAGCCCCCTGTCCCAAAAAACGGCTACAAAAATATATAGCATCATTTCTGATAGTCTGAATTGTATGGTCAGGAATCAAACTTTGGAAATTGGGCCGGGGGGCCCCCGAAAGGCTTGTGCTTCTTGCTGGCAAAATAAATAATAATAAATTACATTTTGACCCTGTTATATTTCACCAAGAATCATCAGCACGTAATCTTCGTTATATTTACCTCGACACCCTAACAAGTACATAGCAGTGGTCCCCGTTGATAAAAGAGGAGTTGATACCCAAATTCCGCGCCATGATATCAGTCGGCCAACCAGCTGTGAACGCTCGCCATGGCCGCTCTAATCTGGAACATTATAGATGCCAATTATATACGAGTTCATTATATCTAAAATCATAGTTACTATTGCAAAATGGCTGCTCACAGAAAAACATCCAAAGTAGGGAAATGACCATAACAAGAAAACTTGATGATACAAAGAAATTTCTTAAAAAGCGTGTAACGCATTTGCCTTCTAGCAGTGTGTCCATTGCGGTATTATCTAACACGAATAGAACCCCTTACCCCTTTGCCCCCCATTATATCAAAATAAATATCCATTTGTGTACAATTATGATTAGAAGGCGTCATGCCTTAAGGTTCAATCCCAGCGCGAATTGCTGTGTCAGTGTCTCGGCGTGGACTGCGGGGCGCAGTGGAGAGCTGGAGCACTGATGCGCGCCGGCCCGTAATAACAATTAGTTATGTAAAACATTAAATTAATGTAATTTTATCATTTTTTTTCTGGAATGGATGGCTTGCGATAAAATATATCCTGTAAATTTCTAAATCATGTTCTATATATATTTTCGCCATAAAATGAATTCAAAGTGCCAAAAATTGCCTATGTTTGGATGTTTTTTCTATCGAGCGAAGTTATTTAAATAGTGTATCGAACATTCAAAATGGTTACATAAACTACTCAACTCAACCATATATTTTTTCCATTCGCCCTAGTTCAAGAAACGATGACGAAAAATGGAAAGAAACAATGTACATTTTTGGAGTTTGGCGACCAGATGGGTCCTTAAGATTAAGAATGACTCTGCTCTTGCACCGTTAACTGGTTATTATACGTAGCTGCAAAATTGTCTATTCGTATATATACAAGAAACTCGCCTCTCGAAGCTGAAATCTCTGAAATACGCCTGCAGCAACTGTTTCAGGTTATCGCAGAACTCCATGTGAAAATCGCCGTCGAAGAGTGTCTTCGCATGTCGAGGTTTCGGCGCCACTGTGAACTTTTCCACGTCCCTGAACACACTGACTGTTGGCTCCCGAAATACCCAGGACTCTGTGTCATTACGTGGAACCACTCGCATACAAATACTGAGGTAGCCATATCTGAAAAAGAGGAGCAGTGCATTACTTAGATGCCCAAAATCAATTTCATCGATTGTGACAGCATAAAAGAGTGTAAAAAAATTGGTTTTACTTTTTTTTACAAATATATAAGGTGACCAACTATTTATTGTTCAAAAAGAGTACACTTTACTTACTAAAAAGAGTACTATAAAACCTTTATTTTCTTTAAAAAACATATTTTTCTTCAGAGTGGATTTTTGGATAAATGAGCATGTTAATCTAATAATGTAGCCACATCCAAACAACTTCCATTTTGCATATTAAATTTGATTGTTACGACGGCATATGTTTTTACAGAAAGTTGCGACTTCTAACTGCTCCAATAATCATTCCCTAGTGAAAATACCCTTTCAACAGCAGAATTAGTGTGCCTGGACAACTAAATTAATCTAAAAAATGTTTTAGAAATAGTACAAATGAGTACTTTCAGAGTACAGGATTTGAAAAGAGTACGGTTTGCGATAAACGAGTACAAAACTCAGTAAATCAGGTCACCTTAAAATATAACAGGAACCATGTGTTATGTGGTATTTTGTTTTATAGGAAAAGGTTTTACGAGTTAATAAGCTCCCAGGTAGTTTTTGTTGCATTTCGTATATTGTATTAATTTTTAAAAACGATTTATTCTTTAGCTTTTATGTTACGATACATTATATGTATGTATACAAACAAATATAAAATAATTTACCTTTTAGCGAAAACAGTTACCTTCAAACGTGTCACTCAGTATTGCGTTTTCTACTCGTGAAAGCGTTTAATATCGAACTCACAAACTTTACTTCCTTATAATATTATTGAAAAAATGAGTATTTTAACTTACCGTTTGATCAAAACAAATCAATTAAATAATTAAAAACTTGGTAGTACAAATAACTTGGTACCGCATTCCTTGAAATTCTGATATACCTATTCAAACAATGCAGTCAATTGATATTTAATAACCGCATAGCCATAATTGTGTGTGTGTTGCGCCTACCGAATATTTCTAATACCAATTCCCAAGTATCTGTTGTCATAGTAATTTTAGTAACAAAGAATTTACCGCGTTGATTCTAATTTTTATGTTTTATGTAACAGGAGGCAAACGGGCTCACCTGATGTTAAGTGATAAGGCTCGCGAATGCGTTGCCGGCCTATTAAGAATTGGTACGCTCTTTTCTTAAAGGACCCTTAGTCGAATCGGTTCGGAAATACTTTAGAGGACTGTAGGTTCCACATAGTGGTGGTGCGCGGCAAAAACAGCCTTAAGAAACGCTCGACGAACGACGGACGTCGAGGTGATACGGATGGTATTTTGTATTCTGCCTTGACGGCCGATGATGAAACTTAGCTGCTGGTATTATTATAGTAACATTTAGTCAAACCTAGCAATTTACATTTAAGAAAATATAAAAAAGAAAATATACTTAAAGGGCCTTACAATCTCTCTTAATTCGCATAATTTGCGAATAAGTAGGATTTTTTTAATCTATATTTGTAATATGATAATAATGTAGGAAATTATATTATACTTTAGATAGTAACGACTCAGTTGTATATGTACATTGTATTGTGAATGGCATATTTATTTAGATTAGTTGTTTCCCGTTCCAACTAACGCAGTTTTGTGGACAGCACAGACTTATGTTGCATATTACAGGCCATAGAAAACGCATTTTAGTACTATTTTTAAACACATGTATCGAGGAATGAAAATACAATACGACATCGAATTATTCAACTATTTATTTAAATGCATAGATGATCAAACCACATTACGGCAATTACGTCCATATAAAAATACATAAATAATTAACGATACACATAAGGAATTCAACACATTTAAATGAAGGAATGTTGATTGATGATCAGGTCATACATTACCATTAATTATGCATTTGTATCGCATACCGTCGTTATCCAGTGATAAGATAAACAAACATAATGATAAACAAAGGACCATATCAGAATTCTCAGGTGTCGTAAGGCCATACTGAGTAAGCAATGAATAATAATGTCAATATTACAAAAATAGATCGCAATATTCGTTTTTCAAATGGTCGACTGCACTCGGATGAAATGTCATCTTGTTTTTTTTATTATTAGAAGATTTTTGGTGTATGTATTAATAGTTTCGCAAACCGAGAACATGTTTTACTTTAATATTCAACGATATGTTATGTTGTAAATCAATATAAATTAGATAATTACCTCATAAATATGTTGATGGATTTACCGACGCCCAATTCGGAATCAAGGGTGCCGGCGCGGCACAGTGCTACCGCCAGCAGGAACACTGCAGCGCGCACCATTACGCGCTCAGCCGCTGTCAAAAAACAGTTTACTTAGTTTTGATAGTTCAAACTAGATGTCGCTAAAACACGTGACAGTTTTGTAAGGGTTTCTGATCGTCGTCTTTTGATGACGTAATTTTTATTTATAATCTAATATTATTCACAACTTTAGTAGTCCGGGTGTTTTTGGACCATCTTCTATATGTATAGAGAATATACTTAAATTGTAGATTAATTTAAAGGTCAAATATGTATCATGTAAAGTTTTGAAAATATATAAATTGTTGAATATTTTCTATAATATACATGATGCTTGAAAATTAAATAAAATTAAAAAATAATTAAATAATATTTATGAAGTTGACATGTTTATGAAAAAAATATAAAAAGATTATCTCCACGGCGGGGAATCGAACCCCGGTCTCCCGCGTGACAGGCGGGGATACTGACCACTATACTACCGAGGATTGTGATTACCGTGTTAAATTTAAGCTATATATTATACCCTCTAAGTTTATGTTAATATATTATCATATCACTAGTATTGAGGCCTATGAATTATAACTGATATATTATGCATTTTAAATATATTTTTTATGTATTTACCGAAATTCAAATTGGATTCTATAAAAAATTATCTTAATATACAGTTATGTATATTTTAATAAAATTAATAACCATATAATATTATCAGTTAATTACAGACTAAAAAAAATAGGATCAACGTATCATAAATTAGTATAAAAAAAACAAAAAGTTTTGTCAGAAGTGGGATTCGAACCCACGCCCTCAGAGAGGACCAGAACAGCTCAGACCTGTTATACAGGCAAGGATTCCCTTGAGTCTGGCGCCTTAGACCGCTCGGCCATCCTGACTGATGAACGGTAATTCGAAATATAGGTACGTTTTCCATGGTTTTTTTAATTATTCATCGTTTCACTAGATGGCAGTGTATTACTCTACGTTAATATATATATTGCAATCGACGAGGAATAAGATGTAACATTCAGCTGTTAATTAAACATGTAATTACTAAGTAATGCTTTTAATAAATACACGTTAAATCATTGATTTATACTTAAGTAAGACCTTGACCGAGATCAAGCAAGACGCACATTATTCGCACGATTAACTAATTTTAAATTCATTGCAATTGTTAGTCAGCCGTTAAATTACTTATTTAACTAAGGTAATTAATATTTTTGTACATAAATTTATGGTTTATAATGTGTTAAAATAATTTATTGAAATTCTTTGTATTAGTGTACTGTGTAAGATTAAAAAAATATATCTTATTTTTTTAAACTAGTCTCAACTCTATTATCCGTATGTGCCTGCCAAGAAGTGTGTACTATGGCGAAACAATTGCCGGAATCGAAGCCAGGAGCCCCCTTCGGTTATTCGCTATATAAGTATGAAGCATGGGGGGGCATTAGTTCCATCGATAAAGCAAGGTAATTCCTTTTTTTAGTTAGTAAGCGGAACTTACTACTACTAACTAAAAAATACCATAAAAATTATATTGTTATAACCTACTTCCTTATCTTAACTTCATTGTTGTAGTACCTATTAATATTATGATCATTGCACAGCATCAAATTCGAGTACTCTCAAGTGCGGTATTTATGTTTCAATTGCATGTAATGCAATATTTGATGCACAATTAATTGCTATACTAGTGACTTCCCCTGCCATCGGACAAGAGCGGAAATATGCCCAGACGGCAGGGCAGGGTTCCTTTAAAACAAAATCTTATCAGAAATGTAATGTATCTTATCTTATCTACATGTAGTCTATGTTTTTTAGAATACTAGATATGAAATCCCGAATAATGAAAAAAAATTGCTAGAAAGTCAAATGTCAGTTTCCTTAAGAACAAATTAAGATAATTTCATTAATAAAGTATACCGCTCTGTTTGAATGGTATTTGCTCTTCAAAGGGGGAGTATTTTTAGATGCACTATGACAACAAACTTTACTCGTAAGTACAGTCGGCAAATTAATAACAGTGTATGGCCTCTTTGCTTTCATTTTTGTTCGGGTTTGAAAATCGAATCTTGAAATGAAAAGCGTGAGTTTTTTGTAAACCTTAAATTGTCGATGGTCATGTTTGGCGTGATATTTATATACATTAAATCGCCAATGCATGACCAACTGGAATTCATACGCAGTATTATTTTTGCGGTTGTCTATAGAAAAAAGAAAAGCGCACAGAAGTTGTCAAACGGATTCAAGCAAAAACTACTTCCGGTGTTCTATTTTTAATTTAATGGAATGTTACTTGCCAACTTTGTAAGCGCAATATTGCATACGATTTGCGGCATCTAACCAGATAAAATTAAATACAAAAATTTGTCACGTTCCATATAAATCTACGTAAAGTAACTAGATTCATTTTGCAATGCATGCTAAATCTGGATTTGATACGCTGACATTCTAGAACTAACGAAATGTCTTAAGCAATAACGCGCTTTAAGAACTGTTATTAAATTAGGTTTCACATAAATTAGCATCGCGGTTGCAACTACGAGGAACACATTTCTAAAATAAATCAAGGATTCTCTTCTTATATAGTGTTTATAAATAAGTCAAATAAATCAGTGCCGCTACAATCTTTTTAGGCCTGGGCCTCAGATGTATGTATCTGTTTTATGATCATTTGTCAATCTAATAGGCAAGTAGGTGATCAGCCTCCATTTTATGATTTGGCATTCTGATAAACAATAAACTACAAGCTCCCACCTTTTCAGAATGCCAAATCATAAAATGACTGCTTCACGACTGATTTGAGAGCGACCGCCGATGCGAAAACCGCTGTGTGAGTTCGAAAAGTGAGTTACAGAATCGCAGGGCAGTACCTGACACACGCCGTCGACTTTTTGGGTCTAAGGGAAATCGGTTTCCTCACGATGTTTTTCTTCACCACCTGCGACAGAAATCCAAAAAGGTTCACATGGACAGACCAATGGACTGGTGCACAGACGGAAATCGAACCTATGACCTCAGGGATGAGAGTCACACGCTTAAGCCAGTAGGCCAACACTGGTCACATAGTGTTTATTTATATGTACATAGTTTAAATCGTAGTAAACAGTAACAAAAAACAAATGAATGTGGCAGACTTAAATATTTTTCAGTTTTCGTCCATCTACCATAATATTATACATATTTATAATAATATGTAATTGTTTTATGTGAAGGAAGTTTTTTTGCTACCACTGCTTGTAAGGATTACCGGATTCAGGCACGTTAGCATTTAACTGCTAATTGACATTGATAAGAGATGTTTGTTAAGATTTAAGAGCACCTGTCGCTTGCACAATCGTTTAAAATTTAAATGTACCTATGTAAAGACTTCTATTGACGTTTTCATACTAATTTACAATAAAAGGTTATTAATCGTAGCTTTATTAAAGATGGCGTCCTTATGAGATGTCACGTGGATCGGCTTTTCTTTATTTTTTGTAAACAAGACAAAGGTTTTTTCTTCTTCTGCGGGTATTTGCAATCAGCCCTAAGGCTATGAGCGAATCTGTTCTGTGGTGCTGTGATGAGGAGTGGCTGCCCATTGGAAGCATCTACTTATCTACTGCCTAGAGCTACTGCCGGTCTTCTAGCTCTAGAATGTGGTGATGTTTAAGCGTCTCACATACTGTTCTTCGGTGGTCTAGATTAACCGCTCTTTGTATTTAGCTGCCAGTCTCCGGATTTCCTCTTTGATAGTTCTCATTTTAAGGTGTTCGTGAACTTCGTCGTTGGGTATGTACCATGTAAATTAATATAAATATAAATTTTAAGTATAATTTCTATATACGTATATATAGGTATACTGTATCTTTTGTAAAGATGGATAAATGTTTCAAGGAATAAATGAGGCTTTACTATTATTATTTTATGCATTTAATTTTAGTATATTCTTTATACCATAATATCAATTTAGTTAGTTAAGTCGGGTAAGTTTGCTTGCTTGTGAATATAACATGAAAATATTCTTTCAACTTTCGTATTAACTATGTCGATTTATTTGCCTTAGTAATAAATTTGTGTTATAGTGTAAATAAAATAGGTCAGTAACAATAAAATACTAACTAACCGAATCAAATTACCTATGCTAATTGTATGTCGGTATGTTTGCACGTGATACATCGCTTGATACTTGCTATGCGAGTGTTTCTAAACCTGTGACTCGAGTCAATACTTCGTGTTAAGTGCTATTTTTTAAAGAATAGAGGGGGGGACCCTATTTTAGTGGGTGCGTTGTTGACTCCGTTTTAACAACGTTTTTGAGCCTAATAAGTTCTAAGTCCCGACAGTAACGATAACTATGACTTCCATATATGTCAAAAAACAAGCGAATTTATTTGATAGGTAGTGATAATTGCGAACAATCGCAACTCTGAGTCTACCACTAATTGCTGTTAGTTATATGAAATTTAACATCCTGTTTATCAAGAATTAACGTTTATTTAAAAGATCTAGGCCCGTAATTAAACTTAAATCAAGTTTCAAGAGCTTTAAAAAAACTGTATTATACCTACAGTTAACATATTGGACAGCTCTCAAGACAAGATTTATTTGGTTTATAATTCTCTCTTGAATTAGTATTTAACTAATTGGGGCAATAAATTTCACCAATATTATTAACAAATCGAGGGTAGATATTAATTAACGAATCTGAGTATGGCTACGAACTCTAGGGGAAGAATTAAAGAGACTTTATATCTTGTTTGATATATTTGAGGTAAATATGCTTTGATTTATTAGTTAAAGATTACTCGGAAGTGAAATCTAATCATAACAAAGATCGTATGTTATCGCAAGTATTTGTAAATATTAAACATTTGCCTCGTGGGAATTAACCTTATACTGAAGTATTGAGAAAGTTTTCATCTCTGAGTATATGCCGTTTCACAGACTACTAATTCTAAATGGTAATTTAAATAATAATAATCCAGCTACAACTAACGCTATTTTTAATTCATAGACAAACTCAAACTCAAAATATCTTTATTCATATA